TCTACCTGTCTATCTCTCTACCTGTCTGTCTCTCTACCTGCCTGTCTCTACCTGTCTGTCTCTCTACCTGTCTGTCTCTACCTGTCTATCTCTCTACCTGTCTGTCTCTCTACCTGCCTGTCTCTTTACCTGCCTGTCTCTACCTGTCTATCTCTCTACCTGTCTGTCTCTCTACCTGCCTGTCTCTTTACCTGCCTGTCTCTACTTGTCTGTCTCTCTACCTGTCTGTCTCTACCTGTCTATCTCTCTACCTGTCTGTCTCTCTACCTGCCTGTCTCTACCTGTCTGTCTCTCTACCTGTCTGTCTCTACCTGTCTATCTCTCTACCTGTCTGTCTCTCTACCTGCCTGTCTCTTTACCTGTCTGTCTCTACCTGTCTATCTCTCTACCTGTCTGTCTCTCTACCTGCCTGTCTCTTTACCTGCCTGTCTCTACCTGTCTGTCTCTCTACCTGTCTGTCTCTACCTGTCTATCTCTCTACCTGTCTGTCTCTCTACCTGCCTGTCTCTTTACCTGCCTGTCTCTACTTGTCTGTCTCTCTACCTGCCTGTCTCTACCTGTCTGTCTCTCTACCTGTCTGTCTCTCTACCTGTCTGTCTCTCTAGCTGCCTGTCTCTCTACCTGCCTATCTCTACTTGTCTGTCTCTCTACCTGTCTGTCTCTCTAGCTGCCTGTCTCTTTACCTGCCTGTCTCTACTTGTCTGTCTCTCTACCTGTCTATCTCTCTACCTGTCTGTCTCTCTACCTGCCTGTCTCTTTACCTCGACCTGTCTGTCTCTACCTGTTGGTTTCTACGTGTCTGTCTCTCTACCTGTCTGTCTCTTTACCTGTCTGTCTCTACTTGTCTGTCTCTCTACCTGTCTGTCTCTCTACCTGCCTGTCTCTCTACCTGTCTGTCTCTACCTGTCTGTCTCTTTACCTGTCTGTATCTCTACCTGCCTGTCTCTTTACCTCGACCTGTCTGTCTCTACCTGTTGGTTTCTACCTGTCTATCTCTCTACCTGTCTGTCTCTTTACCTGTCTGTCTCTCTACCTGCCTGTTTCTTTACGATACTGAACCTCGAATTGCCCCTGGCGGCTGTTCCGCCAGTGTATGAGTGAGTGTTAGTTTCCGTTTGAGCACTTAGACTCAGTGTATGAATGTGTGTGACTGGTGAATGCAGATGTAGTGTAAAAGCACTTTGAGTGGTCGAAAAGACTAGAAAGGCGCTATACAAGTACGGAGCATTTACATTTACATTTACTTTACCTCGACTTGTCTGTCTCTACCTGTTGGTTTCTACCTGTCTATCTCTCTACCTGCCTGTCTCTACTTTTCTGTCTCTCTACCTGTCTGTCTCTCTACCTGCCTGTTTCTTTACCTCGACCTATCTGTCTACCTGTCTGTCTCTCTACCTGTTGGTTTCTACCTGTCTATCTCTCTACCTGCCTGTCTGTACCTGTCTGTCTCTCTACCTGTCTGTCTCTCTACCTGCCTGTTTCTTTACCTCGACCTGTCTGTCTCTACCTGTTGGTTTCTACCTGTCTATCTCTCTACCTGCCTGTCTCTACTTGTCTGTCTCTCTACCTGTTGGTTTCTACGTGTCTATCTCTCTACCTGCCTGTCTCTACCTGTCTGTCTCTCTACCTGTCTATCTCTCTACCTGTCTGTCTCTCTATCTGTCTGTCTCTCTACCTGCCTGTCTCTTTACCTCGACTTGTCTGTCTCTACCTGTTGGTTTCTACTTGTCTGTCTCTCTACCTGCCTGTCTCTCTACCTGCCTGTCTCTTTACCTTGACCTATCTGTCTCTACCTGTCTGTCTCTACCTGTCTATTTCTCCACCTGTCTGTCTCTTTACCTGTCTGTCTCTCTTCCTGTCTGTCTCTCTACCTGTCTGTCTCTCTACCTGTCTGTCTCTTTACCTGTCTGTCTCTCTACCTGCCTGTTTCTTTACCTTGACCTGTCTGTCTCTACCTGTTGGTTTCTACCTGTCTATTTCTCTACATGTCTGTCTCTTTACCTGTCTGTCTCTCTACCTGCCTCTCTCTTTACCTCGACCTGTCTGTCTCTACCTGTTGGTTTCTACCTGTCTATTTCTCTACCTGTCTGTCCCTTTACCTGTCTGTCTCTTTACCTCGACCTATCTGTCTCTACCTGTTGGTTTCTACCTGTCTATTTCTCTACCTGTCTGTCTCTTTACCTCGACCTGTCTGTCTCTACCTGTTGGTTTCTACGTGTCTATCTCTCTACCTGCCTGTCTCTACCTGTCTGTCTCTCTACCTGTCTGTCTCTCTACCTGTCTGTCTCTCTACCTGCCTGTTTCTTTACCTCGACCTGTCTGTCTCTACCTGTTGGTTTCTACCTGTCTATCTCTCTACCTGCCTGTCTCTACTTGTCTGTCTCTCTACCTGTTGGTTTCTACGTGTCTATCTCTCTACCTGCCTGTCTCTACCTGTCTGTCTCTCTACCTGTCTATCTCTACCTGTCTGTCTCTCTATCTGTCTGTCTCTCTACCTGCCTGTCTCTTTACCTCGACTTGTCTGTCTCTACCTGTTGGTTTCTACTTGTCTGTCTCTCTACCTGCCTGTCTCTCTACCTGCCTGTCTCTTTACCTTGACCTATCTGTCTCTACCTGTCTGTCTCTACCTGTCTATTTCTCCACCTGTCTGTCTCTTTACCTGTCTGTCTCTCTTCCTGTCTGTCTCTCTACCTGTCTGTCTCTCTACCTGTCTGTCTCTTTACCTGTCTGTCTCTCTACCTGCCTGTTTCTTTACCTTGACCTGTCTGTCTCTACCTGTTGGTTTCTACCTGTCTATTTCTCTACATGTCTGTCTCTTTACCTGTCTGTCTCTCTACCTGCCTCTCTCTTTACCTCGACCTGTCTGTCTCTACCTGTTGGTTTCTACCTGTCTATTTCTCTACCTGTCTGTCCCTTTACCTGTCTGTCTCTTTACCTCGACCTATCTGTCTCTACCTGTTGGTTTCTACCTGTCTATTTCTCTACCTGTCTGTCTCTTTACCTCGACCTGTCTGTCTCTACCTGTTGGTTTCTACCTGTCTATTTCTCTACCTGTCTGTCTCTTTACCTGTCTGTCTCTTTACCTGTCTGTGTCTCTGCCTGTCTGGCTCTCTGTAGTTGAACTACGAGCGTTGGCGTGCCTTGCTCAGGGGTTTCTGGGTAGCTGTGGTGGTTTACTCCATGCTGGTTCTCATCCTGGTCTACACCTTCCAGTTCCCCTCGTCCCCCTACACCTGGAGCTACTACACTGGACTCAGCACTCACAGGTACACACAGGTACACACGGGCAGGTGACATTGATACTTAATAGATTTTATTGCTTATAAACTTGAGCCATCATCACCATTACACAGGAACAGACTGAAGGGCTCAGGTGTCCTCAGTCTCTCTTCAGCTGTTTGGTTTTCCAAGGAGGGTTAAATCAACACCTCATCAAATAGGCTTCTTTAGTCTTTGTGGTCGACGGAGTCACCTGATGTGAACGTCTCAGATTTAGTTTCACAATAACTTTAACTCTGTAATATTAAAACATAATGTTTTAATTAGCATCAATATTTACTTAATAAATAACATAATTCTTAGTATTATTATACGTATTACGAATAATGAATAAAAGAATTGAACTTGGGGGCAGCTGTGGCTCAGGAGATAGAGCGGGATGGCCGTTAATCGGAAGGTCGGCGGTTCGATCCCTGGCTCCCCCTGGTTGCGTGTCAAAGTGTCCTTGGGCAAGATACTGAACCCCGAATTGCCCCTGGCGGCTGTTCCACCAGTGTATGAGTGAGTGTGAATGTTAGTTTCCGTTTGAGCACTTAGGCTCAGTGTATGATTGTGTGTGACTGGTGAATGCAGATTAGTGTAAAAGCGCTTTGAGTGGTCGAAAAGACTAGAAAGGCGCTATACAAGTACGGAGCATTTAACTAATTATAACTGCTATGTCTCTAACCCTGTCTCTCCAGGCTGGAGGATGTTGGCTTGGAGAAGTTCTCAGTTCCTGTTCTCTTTACTAAGATCTTCATCCCTGCTGCGTTCCTATTGGTACTCATTCCTACAGAACATCAAAGTTTTTTCCATCACGTTCACTCTTTTCCTTTTTCTCTTCTTCTCTCAACACCTTGTTCTGCAAGAGCTGACTAAATGTTGTTCTGCAGGTGTGCATCGTACACCTGCATTACTTCCACGAGCCGTTCCTGCAGCTGACCGACCTGAAGACTGTGGTGGACACTCACAACAGCACCATCACCAGGTAACACGCACACATCTACCTGCAGCTCAGAGCCCAGCTGGAAGAAAGAATTGTCATTTTCAGGTTCATACTAGGATTTATGGTTTCTGCTATAAATGTTTGCATGCTTCGGTGTTTCAAAAACACATTATTTTTTCATTGGTGCTTCAGCTACTCTTTGCACCCTCTGTCTGAAACCTCAGTTTTAGCTCCTGTCTCTTTAAGCCCCCCCCCTTAAAGCCCACTTGCTCCTGATTGGCCAACTTCCCCGAGCACAGCAGAGGATGAATAAAGTCCTGCTATACGAGACTAGGCCTCACTGATTACTGCAGGAAAAAAAAACTTTCTGACTTTATTCTCTGGTTTACTGAAACTGGATCAGGTTTTCCCTCTGATGTCCTGCAGCTGCTGCTAGCTACTCACTTAGCCGTGCAGCTAGCCGTCCTATTGCTAATTCTGCTTGGACCGGAAGCTTAGTGCTCCCCCACAGTGCTGGACTGGGACAAAAATTCGGCCAGGGCATTTTTGGTCTAGGCGACCTACCACAATCAATCGGTCACCCCTCACCAATACACACCATCCTTGCATATATAATATGTGTACCTACTGTAATATTCCCCAAAACCACCATAAAGCTGAAAGAAGTGCCGTGGATCAGTCTACTCATTTGCATTTACTGACTCCCTGGTGATCAGAGGTGGCCGTGGAGTACACAACTCATACTCAAGTACAAGTAATTGTCAAAGAGAAAAACTGTGCTGGAAGTCAAAGTATCATTTCAAATTATTATTAGGTCTATAATTCCCTGCCAAAGCTGGAAAGCTTCAATAAAAACATTCTGGGAATGAGCAAATAGCTGTTTATTCACTGAAAGCATGGAGCAGATGAGAAAACATGTCGGACACTTTGTTGCCTGTAGGCCACACACTGGCATCAAGGGAGCCATTAGTCTAATAATCATGATACATAGGGGCCTGGGGCCTAGGGCCCTCGCAGCAGCGTGGGCTTAGGATAACCTCACCTAGTCATTAGAGTAGTTAGAAGCAATGACTGCATTAGGGAACTTTAGCTCCAACAAACAATGACATGTAGCTTATGCTGTGCTATATGAGCGATCACCAGCAGTACGTGACGGCCTTTCTAAATGACTCGATCATATTATTATCACTGACCTTAAATTACGTGATAATCATCATCTAGCTAGCTCTGTGAGCTCATATGACCGCTTACGTAATTCTGTCCTTCCGATTAAAGCTCTCAGATGACTGGACAAAGACCTTTAGAAGTCTTGAACTAGTCCCCAGATCTCTGCGACTAGTCCCCAGACGCTGCCACTAGTCCCCAGACGCTGCCACTAGTCCCCAGACGCTGCGACTAGTCCCCAGATCTCTGCGACTAGTCCCCAGACGCTGCCACTAGTCCCCAGACGCTGCCACTAGTCCCCAGATCTCTGTGACTAGTCCCCAGACGCTGCCACTAGTCCCCAGACGCTGCCACTAGTCCCCAGACGCTGCCACTAGTCCCCAGACGCTGCCACTAGTCCCCAGACGCTGCCACTAGTCCCCAGACGCTGCCACTAGTCCCCAGATCTCTGCGACTAGTCCCCAGACGCTGCCACTAGTCCCCAGATCTCTGCGACTAGTCCCCAGACGCTGCCACTAGTCCCAAGATCTCTGCGACTAGTCCCCAGACGCTGCGACTAGTCCCAAGATCTCTGCGACTAGTCCCCAGACGCTGCGACTAGTCCCCAGATCTCTGCGACTAGTCCCCAGACGCTGCCACTAGTCCCCAGATCTCTGCGACTAGTCCCCAGACGCTGCCACTAGTCCCAAGATCTCTGCGACTAGTCCCCAGACGCTGCGACTAGTCCCAAGATCTCTGCGACTAGTCCCCAGACGCTGCGACTAGTCCCCAGATCTCTGCGACTAGTCCCCAGATCTCTGCGACTAGTCCCCAGATCTCTGCGACTAGTCCCCAGACGCTGCGACTAGTCCCCAGATCTCTGCGACTAGTCCCCAGATCTCTGCGACTAGTCCCCCGATCTCTGCGACTAGTCCCCAGACGCTGCGACTAGTCCCCAGATCTCTGCGACTAGTCCCCAGATCTCTGCGACTAGTCCCCCGATCTCTGCGATTAGTCCCCAGATCTCTGCGACTAGTCCCCAGACGCTGCAACTAGTCCCAAGATCTTTGCGACTAGTCCCCCGATCTCTGCGACTAGTCCCCAGATCTCTGCGACTAGTCCCCAGATGCTGCGACTAGTCCCCAGACACTGCAACTAGTCCCAAGATCTCTGCGACTAGTCCCCCGATCTCTGCGACTAGTCCCCAGATCTCTGCGACTAGTCCCCAGACGCTGCGACTAGTCCCCAGACCGCTGGAGGAGGAAGGAGGTTACCTGTGCCCCTGTTTCTCTGTGCAGATTGGTCCACTCTGATGGCAGCCTGTTCGACCTGTCGGTCGGTGGAACTAGTCAGTTGCTCCAGGAGGAAGAGAAGATAGGAGGACAGGGGGAGAGAGAGGAAGAGACAGAGGAGAAGGAAGAGGAATACCCTGTGTGTTTGACAAGGAAACCCTGTCTGACCATATAGCAGGTAAACGTAGCATCATGATCACACCTGTTACAGAATAGTTGAGTTTCAAACCAGCAGCAGACTCCTGGTCTCTCCTCCTCAGTGCTGGTCTCCTGGAGGTTGGTGGTGGATCGTCTCTCTGTTTTGTTCCTCCGCCTGCTCCTGTCTCTGCAGCGACTGCAGCACCTCCTCTGGTGGCTCCTAGAACTACACATCATCAAGATAGTCTCCTCCTACATCATCTGGGTCTCTGTGAAGGAGGTCAGAGTCTGGTCTACCTGATGATCTCTCTGTCTTTCTGTTTGTCTCTCTGTCTGACTCTCTGCAGGTGTGTCTATTGAACCTGTCTCTCTCTGAAGGTGTGATTGTTGCATCTCTCTCTCTCTCTCTGCAGGTGTGTCTGAACCTGTCTCTCTCTCTCTCTGAAGGTGTGATTGTTGCATCTGTCTCTCTCTGAAGGTGTGATTGTTGCATCTCTCTCTCTCTGAAGGTGTGTTTGTTGCATCTGTCTCTCTCTGAAGGTGTGATTGTTGCATCTCTCTCTCTCTGAAGGTGTGATTGTTGCATCTGTCTCTCTCTCTCTCTCTGAAGGTGTGATTGTTGCATCTGTCTCTCTGAAGGTGTGATTGTTGCATCTGTCTCTCTCTGAAGGTGTGATTGTTGCATCTCTCTCTCTCTGAAGGTGTGATTGTTTCATCTGTCTCTCTCTCTGAAGGTGTGATTGTTGCATCTCTCTCTCTCTCTGAAGGTGTGATTGTTGCATCTCTCTCTCTCTCCCTGAAGGTGTGATTGTTGCATCTGTCTCTCTCTCTCTCTCTGAAGGTGTGATTGTTGCCTCTCTCTCTCTCTCTCTCTGAAGGTGTGATTGTTGCATCTGTCTCTCTCTCTCTCTCTCTGAAGGTGTGATTGTTACCTCTCTCTGAAGGTGTGATTGTTGCATCTGTCTCTCTCTGAAGGTGTGATTGTTGCCTCTCTCTCTCTCTCTGAAGGTGTGATTGTTGCCTCTCTCTCTCTCTGAAGGTGTGATTGTTGCATCTCTCTCTCTCTCTCTGCAGGTTTGTGTATTTAACCTGGTGTTTGTGCTGTATGTGGGCGTGGCATTGCCCTGCAGGGCATGGCGCCCCCTGCTCTCAGGCATCTGTACAGTTTGGATCTGTGTGGTGACCGTCTGTAAGATGTTGTACCAACTTAGCGTCGTCCAGCCAAGCCGATACTCCTCCAATTGCACCGTGGTAAGAATGGCGACAATATCACACCTGTCTGTCTCTCCGCCACTGTTATATCTGTCTGTCTGTCTTTCTCTAAGACAAGTCCATCTGTCCAAGACAGCAGTTTATAAAGACAGACACTCTGGGGCCCCCCTCAGCAAAAATAATGACCCCTCCCTACACCCCACGGGCAGAGGTGTAAAGTACAAATACTTTGTTACTGCACTTAAGTATTTTTTTCCAGATTTGTACTTGAGTATTTCAGGTTGTTTCAACTTTTACTTTCACTTCGCCAAATAACTCCGATACATTCTGCACGAGACCTCGTTACTCAGCCCCAAAAAAAGAGAGAAAAGCCTGCAGCCACCTGAGTGGAGCAGTGGAATAAATATGAGGACTGGGCGCTAAGCAGCTGATGCGACACCGGCATGCGCAGTGATATTAACATTGACATTTTCACTGCAAAGGAGACATTGACTTACATCAGTTCCCTTGATAGCCTTGACAGCCTTGATATGCTGCTTCAAGTTTGGAGTGTTTTTTCCAAAAATCTTCTAACCACATCAGTGTGCGAACTCTACATAGCTTTTGGGGAGCTCAGTTTTAAATGTCAAAGTTTTACAGTTTAGAAGCGAGTGAAGTTTAAAGGTCAGGAGTCACGCAGCCATTCTACCTTATTTAGATACGGCAGGAGGGGGGGGCAGAGTCCACCAGGCTGCAGGCCGGACCACCAGGATACTCACAGCCAAATAACAGGGTCCTCAGCAGACCAGGAAAACAGGCTGCAGATGTGGATAAGAAGGGCAGCAGAGATCTGATCCAAATGTGCATTAACTGTTGGATATTCCACTTAGCTAGCAAAAGTTTTTATTAAGAGAAAGGACATCATGAGTTTGCAGTTACGTATTAAGAAGGGCAGTGCCAAGCTTTCTAAATAAAAACAAGAATAACAGAAACTATTTAAATGGATATGGTTGTGTTTCTTCTGTCCACTGTTCCACATTTTAACAAGAGAACACCTGGTATTGATAGAACACACAGGCAAGTTGTTGATGATAACAACAAATGATTTCTGTCTGTCACGTTATATTTTAAAATGGCTTATATCTGAAAAGTGTTTCTTTCGTCCGGTTTGTTTCGGCTCTCCCCTCATAATTTTTATTGTCATATGTAGCCATGTTGCTACAGTTCCGCTGTGGCTGTGTTTGCGACCTGACCTTTCTTTTCTCCGTGAGAGGGAAGAGTTTAGAATGTTGTGTGGCGCTGCGGGGAGCCGCTAGCTGCAGTAGCAGGCCTACAGGGATCACGCGTAATATTCATCCAGCCAGAGGGATGTCAATATTTTAGAAACCTCCTGAGCATACTGTGTGTGCATCACCAGAGTTCCCTTCCTCCACAGTAACGTTTTCCTCGCGCACCAGGCATCGCCCCTGTAGGCCAGCGTTCACAGCACAGGGAGAAGAACACACAGCTGAAAAGTGAAAATTTAGAGGGAGAAACTATGGGCCAGAATATTTGGTCTCCTCATTATACTGACAAAAAGAAAGAGAGATTTTATTAACGTTTTTATTTTATGAATTACATTTTAGTATGTCATGTTTCGGCAACAATATTGCATGTTAATACAGTCACAGTCTCGTCTTGTTTTAGTCAGGGAAAAAGTTTTGTTTCATCTGACGAAAGTAACACTACAGCAGAAAATAGTCGTGTTGGGTTCATGTGCAGCTGCAGAGAATCTGTCGTGCTAACCAGGTGAAGGTTCTCAGGCAGGTTCTGCAGCATCTCTTCTCTGCATCACACAGTATCTTTGTCTCACCTTTCTTTGAACAATATCATACCTGTCTGTCTTTCTGTAGCCAGGTAACTCCAGCACCGACCTGTCTCGCTCTGTTCTGTACGCTGGTCCGGTTGACCCCGCCCAGTGGGTGGGGCTTCGTAAGACAGAAGAAAAACTGCTTGATTACCTGAAGGTGAGTTGACATCACAACCAACCTTACTTTAATCAGGCTGTGCTGTAGAACTGTTAGCTCTGATAACTTAGCATCATGCTAACATGTCTCTACAGAATGACAAGATGATGGTAGCTCTTATAACTTAGCATCATGCTAACATGTCTCTACAGAATGACAAGATGATGGTAGCTCTTATAACTTAGCATCATGCTAACATGTCTCTACAGAATAACAAGATGACGGTAATGCTGATAACTTAGCATCATGCTAACATGTCTCTACAGAATAACAAGATGATGGTAGCTCTGATAACTTAGCATCATGCTAACATGTCTCTACAGAATATCAAGATGATGGTAGCTCTAATAACTTAGCATCATGCTAACATGTCTCTACAGAATATCAAGATGATGGTAGCTCTGATAACTTAGCATCATGCTAACATGTCTCTACACTATAACAAGATGATGGTAATGCTGATAACTTAGCATCATGCTAACATGTCTCTACAGTATAACCTGATGATGTTAGCGCTGTTAGCCTTCGAGGTGACCATTTACAGACACCAGGAGCTCCACCGTCTCAACCATAACAAAGTCCCGCCCCCCACCAAAACGCTGTTTCATGACATCACCAGGCGTCACCTAGACGACAGCGTGCTGTGCTGTGTTAAGTACTTCCTCAACTACTTCTTCTACAAGTTTGGACTGGAGGTGAGACACACACACATTAGCATAGCAACAGGCTAACCTCTGCCTGATTAAAAACATTTGCACTCTCTTCCTCCTCAGACCTGCTTCCTTTTGGCCGTGAACGTGATTGGACAGCGGATGGATCTGTTTGCTGTTGGCCACGCCTGCGGCCTCATCACCATCCTATCACGGCGCAGCAGGAAGCGCATTGCGTCAGTGTGGCCCAAGTACTGCTACTTCCTGTCGGGGCTGTTGTGTTTCCAGTACCTGTTGTGTATTGGATTCCCTCCAGCTGCCTGTAAAGGTACAAACTCACCTCAACGTAGAAACCATGTTAGCAAACTGGTCAAGGCTTTTACACTGAAAAGATTAAAGGAGGTGTTTTCATGCTAGGTTAAATACATCCTGGACTCTGTCCACAGAGATAAAACTGATTGAAGCAGACCATTCACAAAAACACAAGCATTTAAATTAAATCTGAAAATTGAAGAAAAAATACTTCATATTTTTCATAAAACCATAAATTTTTTGAAGAAAAAGTTGAAACTCTTTGTAAGAGCAGGAACGTGGTTCTTTCAGATTATCCCTGGAGACCTCCGTCCTCCAACATGGACTCCAATGTGGTGAAGTGGCTCTTCCTCCCTGATCACCTGACACCCCCCAACCCCCTCTTCCTCCTCTGTAAGATCATCATCATTCAGCAGATTTTGTTTTCCTCCCTCAGCATAAAACACACATTGAGAGAACTTTAGAGATGGTAACAACTAATGAATCCCACCTGCTGTGGGAGCTGTTTTTATTTTAACAAACCAAATCTCTTAACTGTTTATATCTTGTCTCCTGCATGTCTGTCACATAATGCAATACTTCTCCCATGACCTCTGGTGGAGACCAAGCTTTCGATTACTGGGCCCTACATTGGGCCCCAGAATTCTTTGTCAGTCTTCAGATTTTGGTCCTGACTTTCGGAGCCTGTAGCAGCAAAGCAACCCCAAAACACCAGTGAACCTCGACCATGTTGGGCTGTCGGGACCCTGTTCTTCTCTTTAAAGGCCTCATTTGGTTTTCTGAAAACAGAAGAATGGTGTGCTCCCAGGAGGATTTTGGCTTCCTCAGGTGAGTTTCTGTGTCAGCACCGGAGTCCTCCCGGGTCCCACTGGGTCCTCCCGGATCCATCTGATCGGCATGACGGCAAAAAACCAAAGACCCAATTGCTCCTATCCTCCTTCTCAACAAGCATCAGTGCTGCCAAAACTGCGTTCTAAAATAAGCAGTGACATTGACTCAATGAAAGTATTTTCCACCTTTAAAGCGCTACTAAATCCTCCTCCACCTCCACCACCCACAAACTTGTCTGCTGATACCTTTGCTGCCTTCTTCACAGGCTAGCCAATTCTCTGAAACACTCAAACTCAACCATTGTAGCAGTCCTACTACATCTGTTCCTCTGCCCTCCCAGGTCAGTGGTTGTTCATTCTCCTCATTTACTCCTCTCACAGAGAACAAAGTATCAGAACTCTTGACCCGTAGCCGTCCAACTACATGCCCACTGGACCCGATTCCTACGAACCTCCTCCAAGCCATATCTCCTACTGTGGTCCAGACAATCACTCATGTGATAAATACTTCTCTGGCTTCAGGAACCTTCCCGACCACTTTCAAAAGGGCTCGGGTTACATCCTTGCTCAGAAAGCCCTCACTTGACCCAACTGAAGTTGAGAACTATCGACCAATGTCTCTACTACCGTTTTTATCCAAAATTATTGAACGGGGAGTCTTCAAACAGGTCTCAGAATTCCTCTCAGGGAATGACCTCCTAGATCCATATCAGTCTGGTTTTAAGAGTGCCCACTCTACTGAAACGGCTCTGATGTCTGTAACAGAAGCCCTAAGGTCAGCTAAAGATGCAGCCCAATCCTCGGTTCAGCTGCCTTTGACACAGTCAACCACAGGATCCTGCTATCCGCTCTCTCAGCAATGGGAATCTCGAGTAAATCACTACTGTGGTTCGAATCCTACCTCTCTGGGCGTTCCTACAATGTTTTATGGCAAGGACAATTATCCTCCTCCCACTGCCTCCCCACAGGGGTGCCCCAAGGCTCAGTGCTAGGGCCCCTTCTCTTCTCAATTTACACCACTTCACTGGGGCCGATCATTCGCCCGCATGGCTTCTCTTACAAATGCTATGTAGACGATACGCAACTCTACCTATCCTTCCCGCCAGGCGACCCCACCGTCTCGGACTGTCTCTCGGACATATCTGCATGGATGAAGGCTTGCCACCTTCAACTAAACCTCTCTAAGACTGAACACTTGGTCATTCCAGCCAAGCAATCTATCCACCATAACATCACACTACAAATTGACTCCACAACCATCACTCCAACCAAGGTGGTGAGAAACTTGGGTGTCATGATTGATGACCAGCTGTCCTTTTCAGACCATGTTGCTGCTGTCTCTCGGTCATACTGCTTTGCTCTATACAACATAGGCCCTACCTCACTCAGTCCGCCACCCAGCTCCAGATACAGGCCATGGTTATCTCTCACCTTGACTACTGCAATGCCTAGCAGGTCTTCCAGCTTGTGCAGTGAAACCCTTACAAATGGTTCAGAACGCAGCAGTGCGTCTGGTTTTTGATCAGCCCAAAAGGACTCATGTCACTCCATTACTCAGTGACCTCCACTGGCTCCCCGTGGCCTCCAGAATCAAATTCAAGTCACTAATGCTTGCATACAGAGTGACTACTGGGTCTGCACCCATCTACCTAAACTCCATAATACAAACTTACGTTCCTTCTCGGCCGCTATGCTCCTCCAACGAAACGCCGCCTGGCTCTGCCATCCCTTCACACAAAGCAATCCCAGTCCCGGCTATTCTCATCTGTGACACCACGATGGTGGAACGAGCTACCACACGCCATCCGAGCAGGGGCGTCCCTCTCTAACTTCAAGAAGCTCTTGAAAACTCATCTCTTCCGAGAACACTTCCACTGATAACACCTCTAACTCCTAACCTCTAACATGCACTTCCTGTGCTCTTCTTCTTCTATCCCCTACAATGATCTTGTATTGATTGCTCTTTTTTGTTTTGATTGCACTTTTTGTTAACTCTTACTTCCTTCCCTAGGTATCTACCCCATTGATGTGATATGTACTATGAGCTCTTACTAGTATTTATTACTGCTCATACTAGTATGTTTTGTCAGTTGTAGATCTGTATTTGAAGCTCTGTTGATGCTTGTATGTTGTTCCTCAAATGTAAGTCGCTTTGGATAAAAGCGTCTACCAAATAAATAAATGTAAATGGGTCTTCCTGGATCCTCCTGGGTCCCTCTGGGTCTTCCTGAGTCCCCCTAGATCCCTCTGGGTCCTCCTGGGTCCCCCTAGATCCCTCTGGGTCCTCCTGGATCCCTCTTGGGTCCTCCTGGATCCCTTTTGGGTTCCCCTGGCACGTCCTGGATCTACCTGGGTCCTCCTGGATCCCTCTGGATCCCTCTGGATTCCTCTAGGTCCTCCTGGATCCTCCTGGGTCCCTCTGGGTCTTCCTGAGTCCCCCTAGATCCCTCTGGGTCCCCCTGGATCCCTTTTGGGTCCTCCTGGATCCCTCTTGGGTCCTCCTGGATCCTCCTGGGTCCCTCTGGCACGTCCTGGATCCACCTGGGTTCTCCTGGATCCCTCTAGGTCCTCCTGGGTCTTCTTGGGTCCCCCTGGGTCCTGCTTGGTCCCCCTGGATCCTCCTGGATCCCTCTGGGTCCTCCTTGCTCCCCCTGGATCCCTCTGGGTTCCCCTGGGTCCCTCTGGGTCCCCCTGGGTCCTGGTTGTGAGTGTGAATTCTGGTCACTAACGTGTTAAAGCAGAGTTTCCTCAGGTGCCAGAGTTCTGCGAGGAACGTCTCAGGTTGTTGTTCCAACAAATGGAACATGAGAACACCAAACTGTTCGGGACAGTGTTCTGGGAGAAGTGGTGCATTATGGGAGACTGACTTCCTACAGTCCAGCTGTGTTCTCTGATCTTTCAGATGACTTCCTTCTCCTCCTCGGCGCCTCTCTGCAGCTGCAGGTGTTTGAGGAGGAGCTTCAGCCGTCGGTCCAGATCCTTGCAGGAGACAACAGTGAGCTGGACGAAGATGACGGGCAGGTCTCTGATCCCATCAGACGACTCCGTCTCAGCGCGGTCCCTGACTTCATGATGTGCAGGTAAACTCCGCCCACTGTCCAACTGCCTGCCTGTTTACCTGTGCGTCTGTCTGACCTTTGACCTCTGTGTGTGCAGGTCTTACCTGGACATGATGAAGGTGATCATCTTCAGCTACATGTTCTGGTTCGTCCTCACCATAATCTTCATCACCGGGACGACCAGGTGAGTGGGTGGAGCCACAAGTACCTGAATTGTTGTTTCAAAGTTGAATTGTTCCGTGCTCCTCAAACCGGAACCGGCTGTCGGTGCAGGAGCACCAAGGCCGAATCATCACCCAGGTAACGAGCCCTCAGAGGTTAACCAGCTGGACTGTTCGATGAGAGGCAAAACGTCTTCGAGGACTGACTTGAACCATGACACAGACAGCTTAACACCAACCGTGTTTCCACTTGTTCCAGGATCAGTATCTTCTGCATGGGCTACCTGGTGGCCTGTTTCTACTTCCTGTTGGTGGGCGGAGAGCTGCTTCTGAAGCCAGCCAAATCCATCCTGGTGTACTGGGACTGTCTGATTGGCTACAATGTGTTCGTCATCACCATGAAGAATATTCTTTCGGTAAGACGCTTCATCAACGCCCAGTCCTCTTCTTGCTGATGTTTACTGAAATACGATCCAGTCCAGGACCGATATCTGCCCATGTGTCTGTGTTCAGATCCTGGCCTGCGGGTTCATTAAGTCCCTGGTGCTGAATCACTGTTGGCTCATTCAGCTCTTCAGTCTGGCCTGCACCATCAAAGGATACACCAAACGTACGTCTACCCGTCTGTCTGTCTGCCTACCTGTCTGTCTGCCTGTCTGCCTGTCTACCTGTCTGCCTGTCTGTCTACCCCGTCTGTGTGTCTGTCTGTCTACCTGCCTGTCTGCCTGTCTGCCTGTCTGCCTGTCTGCCTGTCTGTCTACCCGTCTGCCTGTCTGTCTGTCTGCCTGTCTGTCTGTCAACCTGTCTGTCTATTCAATTCAATTCAATTTTATTTATATAGCGCCAAATCCCAACAACAGTTACTCTGTGATGTTATTTACAGAAGCCCAACAGTTCCCACCAAGAGCAAGCACTAGGCGACAGAGGCAAGGAAAAACTTCCTTTTAAGAGGCAGAAACCTCGAGCAGAACCATGGCTCAGGGTGGGCGGCCATCTGCCTCCACCGGTTGGGGTGAAGGAGAGAGAGAGAGAGAGAGAGAGAGAGGGAGAGAGAGAGAGAAAAATAGAGGGATGGAAGGAGAGAGAGAGAGGGGAGGGAGGCAGCCTACACAATATCCACACACAGAGGTACAGACAGTAAAGGTGATGTTGCTATAGACTAAATGAAAAATCGTACATCGAACAGTCGTAATGTTAATGATTATAATAACAATAATAATAATAGGACTAGTAACAATAGTCGTTGCAGCAGAGGGTGTCGAGCAGGAACACGGGGGCAGTAGGTGACCCGCAGCCACAGATCCAGACTCCACAGCTCCAGAGCCAGAAACACCTGCAGGAAGTGATAGGAGAGAGGAGAGGGACGAGAAAGCACAAGACTACCAGAAAGGGGAGAAGTTGTGTTAGTAACATGCAATAATGGGATGAGGTTGCATACAGAGGGAGAGAAAGTAGAGGAGAGAGGAGCTCAGTGCATCATGGGAAATCCCCCGGCAGTCTAGGCCTATAGCAGCATAACTAAGGGATGGTTCAGGACTCACCTGAGCCAGCCCTAACTATAAGCTTTATCAAAGAGGAAAGTCTTAAGCCTACTCTTAAATGTGGAGATGGTGTCTGCCTCCTGAACCCAAACTGGAACCTGGTTCCACAGGAGAGGAGCTTGATAGCTGAACGCTCTGGCTCCCAGTCTACTTTTGGAGACTCTAGGAACCACAAGTAACCCTGCATTCTGGGAGCGCAGTGCTCTGGTGGGGTAGTAAGGTACTATGAGCTCTTTAAGATAAGATGGTGCCTGACCATTAAGAGCTTTGTAGGTAAGAAGAATGATTTTAAATTCTATTCTGGATTTTACTGGAAGCCAATGCAAAGAAGCTAAAACAGGAGAAATGTGATCTCTTTTCCTGGTTCCTGTCAGAACACGTGCTGCAGCATTCTGGATCAGCTGAAGAGTCTTAATGGACTTTTTCGAGCAGCCTGATAATAAGGAATTGCAGTAATCCAGCCTAGAAGTAACAAATGCATGGACTAGTTTTTCTGCATCATTTTTAGACAGGAAGTTCCTGATTTTCGCAATATTACGTAGGTGAAAAAAGGCGGTCCTTGAAATTTGCTTAATGTGAGACTTAAACGACATGTCCTGATCAAAGATAACTCCAAGATTCCTCACAGTGGTGCTGGAGGCCAGGGCGATGCCATCAAGGGAAACTATATCTTTAGATAGTGCGTCACGGAGGTGCTTAGGCCCCAGAACAATAACTTCAGTTTTATCTGAGTTTAACATTAGAAAATTACAGGTCATCCAGGTTTTAACATCCTGAAGGCACATTTGAAATTTAGCTAACTGATGAGTTTTATCTGGCTTGATCGATAGATATAACTGAGTATCATCTGCATAACAATGAAAGTTTATGGAATATTTCCTGATAATATTGCCTAAAGGAAGCATATATAAAGTGAAGAGGATTGGTCCGAGGACAGATCCTTGAGGAACTCCATGACTAACTTTGGCGTGCATGGAGGACTCATCATTAACATGTAAAAACTGAAATCGATCTGATAAATAGGACTTAAACCAGCTTAGAGTGGTTCCTTTAATGCCAATGAAATGTTCCAGTCTCTGCAATAGGATCTGATGGTCAATGGTATCAAATGCAGCACTAAGATCTAGTAAAACCAGTACAGAGACAAGTCCTTTGTTTGATGCAATAAGGAGGTCGTTAGTAATTTTCACCAGTGCTGTCTCTGTGCTATGATGAACTCTAAATCCTGACTGAAAATCCTCAAATAAACTATTGCAGTGATTCCCAACTTGGGTGTCAAAGACTAAGAACGAGGCTTTCAAATGAGTTATAATTTAGTTTAGGTTTAGCTGCCTATCTACCCGTCTGTCTATCTACCTGTCTGTCTGCCTGTCCATCTACCCATCTGTCTACCTATCTACCTATCTGCCTACCTGTCTATCTACCCGTCTAACTGTCTATCTACCTGTCTGTCTACCCCTCTGTCTATCTACCTGTCTGCCTGTCTGTCTACCCATCTGTCTACCTATCTACCCGTCACTCTACCTGTCTGTCTACCCGTCTGTCTATCTACCTGTCTGTCTATCCATCTGTCTACCTATCTACCCATCTGCCTACCCGTATATCTACCCGTCTGTCTACCCGTCTGTCTATCTACCCGTCTCTCTACCCGTCTGCCAACCCGTCTATTTACCCATCTAACTGTCTGTCTACCCGTCTAACTGTCTATCTACCCGTCTGTCTACCCGTCTGTCTATCAACCCATCTGTCTACCTGTCTGTCTATCAACCCATCTGTCTACCCGTCTAACTGTCTATCTACCCGTCTCTCTACCTGTCTGTCTACCCGTCTACCTGTCTGTCTATCTACCCATCTGTCTACCCGTCTAACTGTCTATCTACCCGTCTCTCTACCTGTCTGTCTACCCGTCTGTCTACCCGTCTACCTGTCTGTCTATCTACCCATCTGTCTACCCGTCTACCTGTCTGTCTATCTACCCATCTGTCTACCCGTCTCTCTACCTGTCTGTCTACCTGTCTGACGTCCCTGCAGCGGAGCAGCAGAGTAGTAAACAGTGTGAGTTGCCGAGTGACGAGGCGGGGATCATCTGGGACGGCGTGTGTTTCTGTTTCCTGTTGCTGCAGAGGAGAGTCTTCAGGAGTCACTACTTCCTGTATGTGGTACTGGACCTGCAAAATACACAACTGCTGGCCTCCAGGTACACACTCGCACACACACTCACGTACATAAGCACACACACTGAGTCATGATGTTAATGTGTGTGTGTTGCAGAGGGGCGGAGCTCTTCGAGGCGTCCACAGTGAAAGCTGTCAGAGCGAGACTGGAGGTGGAGAAGACATCCATGGACCTGCTGAAGAGACAGTAAGACACAAACACAACTGCAGTCAGGACAGGCTCACTGGAATAAAACAAGTCCAATCCAGTCCAGAACAAGTCCCAACACGCTCAAGGCCAAGAAACATCCATAGCAAAACCTAAAATCACCAAAACACCTAGACATGTCTAAAATGGCTGAGATGACTGGGTCAGGATTCGAGACTGAGACAAGTCTGATTAGAAACACAGAGACACAGACCAAAAATAATCTGATGAAAATCACCCACAAAACTGAAATACCGTAAAACAATTAACAGCTGCCTCCTGTTTCCTGGCCTGCTGTGGGAACACATTCAGAACGCAGGTCTCCAGTAGATACCTGGTCTGGTTTTTGTTCTTTGGATGTATAAAACCCTCTTAAACCCCGACGGGTCGCCCGCTTCAAAGCAGCTTTTCATAAAAATGAATCCAGGTTGTGAATCCTATCATGTGAAGTCCGTCGCTCTCTGTCTGCTAACTTCTGCCACACTTAATAATAATATTAAAGCTGTAAGCAGCATTGGGCACGAGTAGCGTGTCGCGGTGTGAGGATACCGCGTTGCATATTCTGGAGCTCTGTCGGTGCCGCTGTGTATTTGCTACGCACTTCAGACACTGCATGAAGGTGTTATACGTCACTTCCTGTTCCCCTTTGTGGCGCTGCATAGTATTTGGCGCTGTGGATATAAATGAATATTGGCGTGTAGATGTGTTCGGGGCGGGACACTTATCAAGCATGGAAAGTTTTGCGCAGATGTGAGCATGTACACTGAAGTTACAACAACTTCCTGTTTCATGGCGAATCATCGACGCCACAGACACGCCCATGGACAAAAACTCACAGATAGCACAACTTGTCATCGTCAGTGCCTTTAGAAGGCACAGCAGAAATTTGACGTTGATCCGACTAAATCCCTAGGAGGAGTTCGTTAAAGTACGAAGTGTGTAAATCATCCAAAAATGGCCGTAAAATTCGAAATGGCCGACTTCCTGTCGACTTTAGGGTATGGCTTCTTGAGGCTTTTTTGTGTGTCTTGATATGATACATGTCCCCTGAACATTTCGTGCTAGGTTGAACGTGGATGAGGGGCAAATTTTTTCCAATTTTCTAGGTGGCGCTAGCGAGTCATTTTGCCACGCCCATGTGCGAAACCCATAAAATACAAAATTTTTCACCACTTCTGACATGTGTGCAAAGTTTGGTGAGTTTTCGAGTATGTTTAGGCCCCCAAAATTGAGCTTACTTTGCAGAAAAAAAATAAATAAAAAAACAATCTTAAATCAATAGGGACCTCGCACGGTTCGTGCTCGGGCCCTAATAAATAAACGGCTAGGGATAGGCAGAGGTGAAGAGATGGGTCTTAACGCAGGACTGGAAAATGGTGAGGGACTTCATGGGGAAGGGAGTTCCAGAGCCAGGGGGCTGCCCTGGAAAAGGCTCTGTCCCCAAAACTGGGAGCTGATGGGAGATGATGAAGAGAAGGGGGCCGAGTACGGAGCCTTGGGGAGCGTCTTGGGTGACTGTGACTGTAGCAGAGGTGTGGTTATGAAGAGAGATGAAGTGGGATCTGTTGGAAAGGTAGGAACGGAGCCAGGTGAGTGCAGTACCTTCGATACCAAGGTCTTTGAGTCTGGTGAACAGGATGTTATGGCTCACGGTATCGAAGGCTGCACTCAGGTCAAGAAGAATAAGGATGTTAAGGGAGGTCGTTGAAGACTTTGAGGAGAGCAGTTTCTGTTCTGTGGAAGGGGCGAAAACCAGGTTGGAAAGGTTCAAATTGGTTATTGGCATGAAGATGAGTTTGTAGTTGTGAGGCGACTATACGTTCAAGGGTTTTAAACAGAAAGGGGAGGTTGGACATTGGGCGGTAGTTATTAAGGGTTTTTAAGGGCTGGGGTAACAGCGGGAGTTTTGAAAGCAGAGGGGACAGTTCCAAGGGACAGTGAGGAGTTGAAGAGGTTAGTGAGGTAGGGGGGAAGGACGGGGAGGCATGACTTCATGAGAGGAGTAGGGAGGCAGTCAAGTGAGCGGGTAGTGGGTTCGGAAGAGCTGATGAGTTTAGAGATTTCAGGAGTGGTGACCAGGTCAAACTGGGAGATGAGGCAGTGCGGAGGAGGAGGAGGGAGGTCAGGCAGGATAGGGGGAAGAGGGTCCGTGGTAGGTGCTGGAGTAGATACTGGGAGGTCAGATGCAGGGGATAGAGACTGATAAATAGTGTTGATTTTATCAGCGAAAAAGTGAAGGAATTAGTTGCAGAGATCAGGAGAAGAGGTAGGGAGGGTGACGGTCCGAGGCTTGATGAGGTTGTTCATTGTGGAGAAGAGGGTTCTAGGGTTATGACAGGGGTTGGAGAAGATGGAGAATAGAGAAAAATAATACAACTATTTGCAGAGAAAGAACAATGTGGCAGATATTTACATGTGTATTACGCAGAAGTATTGCAACGGAAGAGAGTATTGTGAACATAAATATATAAATATAAATACAATACAATATAAAAATATTCAACAACAAAGATTAACAATTAACAACAAATATGTGCAATGTGCCAGGTTTGTGCTTGATATGAAATCAAATAATATTTACATGTGCAGAGACATTTGTATTATTTGAAAGGGGGGAGTGTCAGTGGGGGCCCGGGCCTTGTTAATGAGGCTAGCTGCAGATGGGAAGCTGGTTTTGGTCCTGATGGACCGCAGCCTCCTGCCAGAGGGGAGAGTCTGAAACAGTTTGTGTCCAGGGTGGGAGGAGTCAGCTGCAATCTTTCCTGCTCGCCTCAGAGTCCTGGAGGCGTACAGGTCCAGAAGAGAAGGAAGATTGCAGCAAATCACCTGTCATATGAAAATATAACAGTATGTACAGCTCTGAAATAGAGAATGATGAATAAATAATAAGTGTTAGCCTGTAAACAGGTGGCTGATTAGAGACAGAGTTACTGGGTTATTGCACAGGAATTGTGTATTGAAATCAGCTGTTCATGGCTGGAAACAGGTTGTGTCCGGGGTGAGATGGATCTGCAGTGACGGTTCTTGTCTGGATCCCACAGCAGACACATGGCTGTTGAGTATGGTGATGGGGGGCAGAGTGGGGGGGCTCTTCCTGAAGTCCACGGTCATCTCCACAGTTTTGAGCGTATTAAGCTCCAGGTTGTTCTGGCCGCACCAGAGAGCCAGCTGATCAACCTCCCGTCTGTAGGCCGACTCATCACCGTCCCGGATGAGGCCGACAGATGGGTCTCCTGAGGTGCAGTCGTTGGTGTAGAGGGAGAAGAGCAGTGGGGAGAGCACACATCCCTGGGGGGCGCCAGTGCTGATAGTCCGGGTGCTGGATGTGATGTTTCCCAGCCTTTGATAATATTAAATACTCGACTTGCGGGAGACGGATAACTTTCAGTGTTAAGTGTACTTTATATTTCTGCATCGAATCGATGGCGTAGCCTCTGCGTATCCCCCTACCCTACGCCGTAAGCTGACGTGCACCTCCTCAAAAATGTAACTACACGTCAAGGCGAACCAGGAGTATAAATGGGACATTAAGCACTGCCTCTGGCGGTCATCCAGAATTCATAGAGCTGTAGTTACGTACGTAACTCATTTTGTGGGAACACTATTAAATGTTCAGTTTCAATACCATATACCAGAACAAGGTCGAGGGTGTGGTTAAAACAGCGAATCGGTTTATGAACAGAGAAGCCAGTTGAATCTAACAGAGAGATAAACGCTGTACTAAGGCTACAGTCACATCACTGAGACCAAGATGAGTCAGAGTCACAATACTGAGACAGAGACAAGTCCAATTCACAATGCCAGCTAGGTCAAGTCAAGTCTGACTCAAGACTGTAGAAAAACTCAAGTCTTAAGATTGGACTTGAGACAGCAAGATATGACTCTGTACTTGGACATTGTTTTTAAACATCATGGGTAAAGTCTGGGGTGGCACGGTGGTGCAGTGGTTAGCACTGTCGCCTCACAGCAAGAAGGTCGTGGGTTCAACAACGTGGGTGCTCAGGCTTCCTCCCACCGTCCAAAGACATGCAGGCTAGGTTGATTGGTGACCCTAAATTGTCCTTAGGTGTGAGTGTGAGCGGTTGTTCGTCTACGTGTGGCCCTGTGATGGACTGGCGACCTGTCCAGGGTGTACCCCGTCTTGTGCCCGATGTCAGCTGGGATTGGCTCCAGCCCCCCCGCGACCCTGTACACAGGATAAGCGATTGACGATGGATGGATGGGGCAATTCTGTGCTTCACACAGTTAATCAAATTATGTCAGTCAAGTCCTGGACCAGGCGTTGATTGGCCCACTTGTGTTTGTCCTGAAACACTGGACTCTCTTCCTGTTACTTGTGAACCCGGACCGGTCTGACCTGTGAACTACTTCCTGTGTCCTTCAGGATGGAGAGGATTAAAACTCGACAGCAGAAGTTCCGCAGAGGAAAAGAGAAGATGTTGAGCTGGAAACGAGACAGCGTTCAAACTGATGGTCTGTAAACAAACATCAGTTGCCATGGTAACTGTGGCATTCGCAGCTGTCAATCACTGAATGAATGAATTTATGTTTGTGTTTCCTTTATTGTTTTGTTTGGAATTGTAGGTCAGGAAAACAAGAAGGGGCAGCGACAGAAGGAGTGGTGGAGACCATGGGTAAACCACACCTCAAGTGAGTCACATGACCTGTGACATCATCACGCTCACCTGTGCTTTCAGAGCTGTGTGTGCTCTTCAGGTCTTTCTGAGTAACTGTCTCTCTGATCTGTCTGCTGCCTGCAGTGGTGAGAAGTGGTGACTACTACCTGTTTGAGACAGACAGTGAGGAGGAGGATGAGGAGAAGGAGGAGGAGGAGGAGAAGAAGGAGGAGCTACCTGAGAAATCAGCCTTCCAAGTGAGAGTCTCCATTTACATTTACTCATTTGGCAGACGCTTTTATCCAAAGCGACTTACATTTGAGGAACAACATACAAGCATCAACAGAGCATCAACTACAGCACGAGATCTACAACTAACAACATACTAGTAAGAGCTAATAGCACATATCACATCAATGGGGTAAATACCTAGGGGAAGAAGTGAGAGTGAACAAAGAAAATGGAGAGGTTCGAGATGTTATCAGAGGAAGTGTTCTCTGCAGAGTTTTCAGGATCTTCTTGAAGTCAGAGAGGGACGCCCCTGCTCTGATGGCGTGCGGTAGCTCGTTCCACCATCGTGGTGTCACAGGTGAGAACAGGGACTGAGGTCGCTTTGTGTGAAGGGATGTCAGAGCCAGGCGGCATTTGTTGGAGGAGCACAGTGGCCCAGAAGGAACGTGGGCTTGGATTATGGAGTTTAGTACGTTTAGTAATCAGAGGAGTGCTGACGTACTGCGGTAAGCGTGTCGACTCGTTTCCGTTCCCGGTGCTTGTGTGTTGGTAGCGTGTTGGGCTGCTCTCGCTAAATACCAGTTAAATTTGTTTGTTATCATTACAGCGGCCAGCTATCCTCTAAACACTTATTCTTACAGTAGTTCTACCTAAGCACTCACAGTTCTTTCCATCTTTTAGTGACTGCTTTTTAATCTCATAGTTGTTTTTGAAAGTTTTAACTCAGCAGCTAGAGATGGCTTCTCCTTCTCCCTCTCTCTCTCCTACTTTCTCCTGCTCGGTGTGTCAGATGTTCAGTTACTCCTCTGCCTCCTTTAGCGGTAATGGTACGTGTAATAAGTGTAGTTTATTTATAGACATGGAGGTGAGGCTCAGTGATTTAGAAGTCCGGCTCCGCACCTTGGTAGATCAGTCTTTAGCTACTGTAGCTAGCCAGTCCCCGGTAGTCGGTGCGGAACGGCCTGAGTTAGCCTCTGGTAGCCGTCCTCCGGCATCTCCTGAGCAGCCACGAAGGGGGGGGCTGGGTGTGCATTAAAAACCTCATAAAAATTAAAACCACAAGAGCAATAGTGCAAACGAATAGGAGAGTTAAATGTGGACATCAGATCTCTCTCTTGTAAAGGTGTACTAGTAAATGAACTAATATAAATGAATCCCCTCCCAGTCATATTAATACTCACATTCCTCGAGGCACAGGCCGAGGAGGTGGAGTTGCAGCTATCTTCCACTCTAGCCTACTAATCAGCTCTAAACCTAAACTAAACTATAACTCATTTGAAAGTCTTGTTCTTAGTCTTTCACACCCAAGTTGGAAATCACTGCAACCAATTCTCTTCGTTATAGTGTACCGAGCACCTGGCCCGTACTATCACAGTGAGGATCTATGTCTGATTTAAATTTTGCCAGTTTTACTTTAGACCAATGCAGTCTATGAACAACTTTAAATTGAATCACTCGATGTCTTTGACATATTGAAGATGAATGAATGTTTTTCAATATAGATTCCCATACATCCTCAGAAATTCCTATAGACAGTTCCATATTATGAGTATTCATTACACTATATATTTTACCAATGGCCCCCTTGGAGTTTGGATTCACTTCTAGAACAGTCTCAAGAAGTGACTCAGGTGGTAATGAGGGGAAGTGACTAACAGATGATGCAGCAAAACTGCGAAGTTGAAGATATTTGAAGAAGTGAGTGTTGGGAATTTGGAATTTAGTTTTCAGTTTGCCGAAAGATTGCAAAAGTGCCATCAATATACATATCCTTTAGTACCCTAAGGCCATTTACAGACCAGGCGCCAAAAGAATCATCTATAATAGAAGGAGTAAACATGTGATTTCTTGCTATGGGAGCGAAAACTGATACATCATTAAGTGAAAAATGTCTTCTAAACTGTCCCCATATTTTGAAGGAGTGCTTAACCACTGGATTCAGAGAGTATTTATATATAGGATGAGGTGATGGCAATGTTGAGCAGAGCAATGCATGTAAAGAAGCGGGATGGCATGACAAATTCTCAAGGGACAGCCATTTAGGACCACTAGCATGCAAGTTAAACCTATCCGACCACTGTTTGATAATTTTTGAGTTTGTATTGCTGAACTACTCGCCATTAGGCAAAACTTTCTATACAAGATGTCTGTCTGATAGTGCTGTAGCTAAATTTAAGGATGCGATTCCATCAGCTCTAAATTCATTATCAAGTCACAAAGTAACGGAGGACTCCTATGATAATTTCAGTCCCTCCCAAATCGATCATCTTGTTGATAGTTCGCTGCGAATGACACTCGACTCTGTAGCCCCTCTAAAAAAGAAAATACTAAAACAAAGACGGTTAGCTCCATGGTATAATACTGAAACTCGCAAATTAAAGCAAATATCGCGGAAACTTGAGAGGAATTGGCGTTCCACCAAAGTGGAAAATTCTCGTTTAATTTGGCAAGATAGTCTTAAAACTTATAGGAAGGCCCTCCGTAATGCCAGAGCAGCGTACTACTCGTCATTAATAGAGGAAAATAGGAACAACCCCAGGTTTCTTTTCAGCACTGTAGCCAGGCTGACAGAGAGTCACAGCTCTATTGAGCCAAGTATTCCCATAGCTCTCAGTAGTTACGACTTCATGAGCTTCTTTAATGATAAAATTCTAACTATTAGAAACAAAATTCACCAAGACCTGCCCTCAATTGGCACCGACTTATCTCTTAACTCAGGAACCTTAGAAACAGCTGTAGAACCAGATACATGTTTAGACTGTTTTGCTTCCCTCAATCTTTAATTTCTTCATCTAAACCATCAACCTGCCTCTTAGACCCCATCCCGACTAGGTTGCTTAAAGATGTTTTACCCTTAGTCAGCACTTCTATACTAGATATGATCAATCTATCTTTATCAACAGGCTATGTACCACAGTACTTTAAAGTAGCTGTAATTAAACCTCTTCTGAAAAAGCCCAAACTTGATCCGGATGTTTTAGCCAACTATAGACCTATATCTAACCTTCCATTTCTCTCTAAGGTTCTGGAGAAAGCAGTTGCTAAACAGCTGTGTGACTTTCTACAGAGCAATAGTTTATTTGAGGATTTTCAGTCAGGATTTAGAGCTCATCATAGCACAGAGACAGCACTGGTGAAAATTACTAATGACCTCCTTATTGCATCAGACAAAGGACTTGTCTCTGTACTGGTTTTATTAGATCTAAGTGCTGCATATCACCTCATATCAGATACCACTAACCATCAGATCCTATTGCAGAGACTGGAATATTTCATTGGCATTAAAGGAACCGCTCTAAGCTGGTTTAAGTCCTATTTATCAGATCGATTTCAGTTTGTACATGTTAACGATGAGTCCTCCATGCACGCCAAAGTTAGTCATGGAGTTCCTCAAGGATCTGTCCTCGGACCAATCCTCTTCACTTTATATATGCTTCCTTTAGGCAATATATCAGGAAATATTCCATAAACTTTCATTGTTATGCAGATGATCTATCGATCAAGACAGGACATGTCGTTTAAGTCTCACATTAAGCAAATTTCAAGGACCGCCTTTTTTCACCTACGTAATATTGCGAAAATCAGGAACTTCCTGTCTAAAAATGATGCAGAAAAACTAGTCCCTGCATTTGTTACTTCTAGGCTGGATTACTGCAATTCCTTATTATCAGGCTGCTCGAAAAAGTCCGTCAAGACTCTTCAGCTGATCCAGAATGCTGCAGCACGTGTTCTGACAGGAACCAGGAAAAGAGATCACATTTCTCCTGTTTTAGCTTCTTTGCATTGGCTTCCAGTAAAATCCAGAATAGAATTTAAAATCATTCTTCTTACCTACAAAGCTCTTAATGGTCAGGCACCATCTTATCTTAAAGAGCTCATAGTACCTTACTACCCCACCAGAGCACTGCGCTCCCAGAATGCAGGGTTACTTGTGGTTCCTAGAGTCTCCAAAAGTAGACTAGGAGCCAGAGCGTTCAGCTATCAAGCTCCTCTCCTGTGGAACCAGGTTCCAGTTTGGGTTCAGGAGGCAGACACCATCTCCACATTTAAGAGTAGGCTTAAGACTTTCCTCTTTGATAAAGCTTATAGTTAGGGCTGGCTCAGGTGAGTCCTGAACCATCCCTTAGTTATGCTGCTATAGGCCTAGACTGCCGGGGGATTTCCCATGATGCACTGAGCTCCTCTCTCCTCTACTTTCTCTCCCTCTGTATGCAACCTCATCCCATTATTGCATGTTACTAACACAACTTCTCCCCTTTCTGGTAGTCTTGTGCTTTCTCGTCCCTCTCCTCTCTCCTCCTATCACTTCCTGCAGGTTTTCTGGCTCTGGAGCTGTGGAGTCTGGATCTGTGGCTGCGGGTCACCTGCTGCCCCCGTGTTCCTGCTCGACACCCTCTGCTACAATTATTGTTACTAGTCCTATTACTTTTCACTACTACAAATGTGGGGGCAGTGGTGGCCCTAAGGTTAGAGAAGCGAGCTTGGGACTGGGAGGTCGCCGGTTCAATCCCCAAACTGGCAGCAAGGCCCAATTCAAGTGAATTTGATTCAAGTCACTAATAAACTTTGGACTCTACCACCATTTTGCAAAGTGTAGTCTGGAGGATAGATAAAGTAAAAGAATAAGATGGTTCACCACAATTCTCCAGAGAAACTTCAGTAGTCCTTTTTATAGAGAATTCCCTGTCAGGGTTCAGTAAATGTCACAAGTTGTGGTGGTGAGGCAGGGCAGAGCAGGTGGTGGACCCAAATGCAGGACATGTAGGCGAGCAGGTATAGCTCAAAAGCTTTATTAACAAACACAATGCGAGCACACTTACAGGTTGAGTGGCTGAAGAAACAAAGTCCAAAAACAAAGTTATCCAAAGTGAAATCCGGAAACAGGCGAAAGTCCAAAATCCAAACACGACGAGACAGAGCAGACAACACTGCAACACAATGTAGCCAATGTAACAGGAGGTAATGACCAGACAAAGACAAGACAGAAACACCAGGTATATATACAGGGACTAACGAGCAGGTGACAGGGATCAAGGTTAACGAGGCACAGGCAGGCAGGGGGAGAGCAGGGGAAAACAGAGACAGACATGCAGAGGGATCACTGGGGTAACAGACATGACACAGGTTACTGAACACTAGACGATAGACAAAACAGAACCCCAAAACCCAACAGACCAAAATAACAGATAATAAACTAAACTCAAAAGTGCAAAACAAGGTATGGCTGACAGGCAGAGTATGACAGTAAAGTGGGAGGGCACATGTAAAACTGATGTTGTCAGAAAAAACATGGAATGGAAACAAAGTTATGAGTAAATTTAAGGAAAGAAACTAAATGTTTTCAAGGTTTGAAGAGTAAAGTTAAATTTGTCCTTTAGGGTCAAGCTGATGAACTGATGTTATTATGGTTGTCTGCCTTTATTTGTCAGTTTGTCTACCATGCATGGATAACAGACTCCAGAACAGCAATGCGAACTCGCAACAACCAGAAGAAACTCTGGAAAAAAAACTCCTCAGAGCGAAGGGGCAGGAAGGAGGAGCTGAAAGGAGGTGAGTATGAGGAGTGGTGGTGTCTTCTACATGAATCTGGCATTGGCCAGTTACAGGTTTTAAAGTATCCTGCGGTATGAAAAAGTCAAATGTTCTGCTATACCTCAGCTGTTTGTCTTGTCAAAGACACTTACTGTTACTTATCAATCCAACGTGTATGCAGCCTGTTGCAGTTGCTCCGTCGTTCGTCATCTTATTTCTAACTTTCTTTTTATTTCTCACTTGTGTGATTCTTGGACTATAACTCATATAAACTACACTCTCTCAAATCATGCTAGTTGAGAGAGTTTTGGTAAGTCACGGCCCCACATGGCCGCTTTGTTTACACCCGGGACCAGCTGATCGCGCTGAAGCCGACCCGCATGGCGCCCAGGCTCACAGACATCCCCACCGAGATCTGGAGGAGGACACACAGAGGATGCAGAGGAGGAACCAAACGGCGAGGGAAGAGAGAGGGGTCCAGACAACAGAGATTTAAACCTTGTCTCCCCTCTCTCATCATGGGCAACGTGAGATCACTGGCTAATAAGATGGACGAGCTAACAGCGTTAGCTCGGAGTCAAAGGGAGTTTCAGGAGTGTAGTTTAATGTGCTTCACGGAGGCTCGGCTACACCAGGATATTCCTGACCACAACGCCTCCATCGACAGCTTTCAGACTGTTCGGGCCAACAGGGATTGCACAACAAACCGTGGGTAACAAAGGACATCAAGGATATCCTGAACACTAAGAGGAGGGCTTTCAGAGATGGTAATAGGGAGGAGGTGAGGGCCATTCAGGGGGACCTGAAGGTAAAGATCAGGGAGGCTAAGGAGAAGTACAGGAGGACCAGGCGAGAAGACAGCTGAGGAGACTCCACTCCAACAAGGCTACAGGCCCTGACGGTGTCCGTCCCGGGGTGCTCAAAGCCTGTGGCCCCCAGCTATGTGGAGTCCTTCACCGTGTCTTCAACCTGAGCCTGAGTCTCCGTAGGGTCCCTGTGCTGTGGAAGACATCTTGCCTCATTCCTGTGCCAAAGACGCCACGTCCCACTGACTCCAAGGACTACAGACCCGTGGCACTGACCTCCCACATCATGAAGACCCTGGAGAGACTAGTTCTGGATCAGCCCTTCTCTGGACCCACTCCAGTTCGCCTACCAGCCCCGACTGGGAGTTGAGGACGGAGGACTCAACAAACTGATCCAAGGCCAGTGACGTTGTGGGGGTGGAGCTGGACTCTCTGTCGGTGGTGTCAGAGAGGAGGATGCTGTCCAAACTACATGTCATCTTGGACGGTGTCTCCCACCCGCTCCATGACGTGCTGCTCAAACACAGGAGCACGTTCAGTGACAGACTCATTCCCCCAGAATGCACCACAGAGCGCCACAGGAAGTCGTTCCTGCCTGTGGCCATCAAACTCAATAACTCCTCCCTCTAAGCGTCTTAGCGTTTTATTGATATTATTTACCACTATCTTTATTATATTCCTTTGCCCTTGTGCAATGTGTGCAACTGTAACACAGAATTTCCCTTTGGGGATCAATAAAGTATTTCTGACTTTAAAAAGTAATAATTTGACTCATTACTGGGTGATAAAAGTACGTTCCTCGTTACATTACTGTATTACTTTCACTATGACCCCCCACCCCCAAACAAAGCTCTCTCCCGACTTTCTCATCTTCATGACAGCAGCAAGGAGTGTGATTTTTACTAAACAAATAGCCTAACGTTTCCGAACAAAATATATTATGTTAAAGCAAGTAAATCCCGACTTTTGAACTGGCTACATTTTTTCTGCATATGTATTTATAAGAGCACTAGCCTATTATTCAGTATTTTTAAAAATCGTTGTTGTTATGTTCCACGCTGCACACTCTCGATGAGTGCCATGCATCGCAGCAGCGACCGGTTTCACGTTGTTGTGCTGCTTTAGCAGACGCTTCAATAAATTAGATGGAGAATTGTTCACAGCTGAACGCTTTTTGCTGGTCGCACAACGTTTGCAATGGACGACAATGTTCTTTGCATCTTAGACTGTCACACAAGATTTGGCAGTAGCTACTTACAGCTGGTGAAAGAACGCCTCTCCCTCTGTCTCCTTTCTTTCTTTAGTTTTTGGCTAACAGCTGACCTCTGAGCTGCCGCACAGTCGTGCGCTCACGTCAAGGACGGTGCGTTCAGTAATGCAGCGTTACTTGGATTAGTAACTGTAATAATATTACTTTTTTGGAAAAGTAATCTATTACACTACTTAGTTACTGGGAAACTAAGTAATATTATTTACTGCCCAACACTGGTCAAAGACTGAAAGTGCAGGAATCCCGCAGGTTGTGTGCAGTCAGTCACCTGTGTGTAGGACTGCTGAAGGAGGGAAACCCCTGAACACTTTCCACCGTCAAATAAATATGATATCCCCTCTATAGCAGTGCCACCCGTCACTCTTTGCTAAATTCAACACTAGCACTATTGTGAAATGAAGTTAGCATGTTTCACACGGGTGAAATAAATACTATTGGCTTACTACTGAGGCAGATAACAGGGCTAATAAACTAGCTAACATCAGCTAGTTTCACCCCTCATGTTACTTCACAGAGCGGGGGAGAGCAGAGTGCTACCTTTCTGATTTAGTGCAATAATTAAATTGAGCTGGTATCACGTCTGTACTTTTGTTTACGTCTTCCGCCACTGTGTACATCTGTTAAAAAAGGACAGAAGAAAAAACAACTGCTGGCTTTTCCACTGTTTGTTGTCTGGAGAGAGACACACTCTCTGTACATGTATGTGTGCATCAACACTACAAAAATGATAACTGATTTATAGCAGCAGTATATTTGTTGTTGCTTCAAATATATTGTGTTCAATGGGAAAAAGTGGCATTACAAATAATACATTTTAGAGGTTTGATACCATGATCATTTTTATCTTGTTTTATATTAAGGCAGAGATGCTCAAAGTCCAAGTCAATTCTCAAGTCTCTCCTGTTCATTACGAATGTTATATCACCTGCTGCGTTCAATCCAGGTTGCTAATAAAACTTCATAGCTATAAGGGATACTGTTAACCTGTGTTTTTCATTTATACACCACAAGAGCACAACCATGTAATGTGCAATGCAATTAATGACAGCTTAGTAAGTCAATAAACCTGTCTGTTTTTAACTTACAGAGCACAACCAGTTAGCCTAATGTACAATGCGTCTACAGTTAGCTGATAAACTACTGCAAGTCAACAAACCTTGATGAGTTTCAAACCCAGTGTAAAGTTAACTAAATAAAACTGTAAAGTTACATGGTCAACAATAAAGCTGTAACCTGTTTTTAACGTACAGAGCACAACCTGTGCAACGCAGTTAATGACAGCTTAAACTACTGTAAGTCAACAAACCCTGCAGACTCTCAAACCAATAAAGCTGTAACCTGTTTTTAACTTACAGAGCACAACTATAATGTGCAATGCAGTTAATGACAGCTTAAACTACTGTAAGTCAACAAACCCTGCAGACTCTCAAACCAATAAAGCTGTAACCTGTTTTTAACTTACAGAGCACAACTATAGTGTGCAATGCAGTTAATGACAGCTTAAACTACTGTAAGTCAACACACCCTGCAGACTCTCAAACCAATAAACTGTAACCTGTTTTTAACTTACAGAGCACAACTATAATGTGCAATGCAGTTAATGACAGCTTAAACTACTGTAAGTCAACAAACCCTGCAGACTCTCAAACCAATAAACTGTAACCTGTTTTTAACTTACAGAGCACAACTATAATGTGCAATGCAGTTAATGACAGCTTAAACTACTGTAAGTCAACACACCCTGCAGACTCTCAAACCAATAAAGCTGTAACCTGTTTTTAACTTACAGAGCACAACTATAGTGTGCAATGCAGTTAATGACAGCTTAAACTACTGTAAGTCAACACACCCTGCAGACTCTCAAACCAATAAACTGTAACCTGTTTTTAACTTACAGAGCACAACTATAATGTGCAATGCAGTTAATGACAGCTTAAACTACTGTAAGTCAACAAACCCTGCAGACTCTCAAACCAATAAACTGTAACCTGTTTTTAACTTACAGAGCACAACTATAATGTGCAATGCAGTTAATGACAGCTTAAACTACTGTAAGTCAACACACCCTGCAGACTCTCAAACCAATAAACTGTAACCTGTTTTTAACTTACAGAGCACAACTATAATGTGCAATGCAGTTAATGACAGCTTAAACTACTGTAAGTCAACACACCCTGCAGACTCTCAAACCAATAAACTGTAACCTGTTTTTAACTTACAGAGCACAACTATAGTGTGCAATGCAGTTAATGACAGCTTAAACTACTGTAAGTCAACACACCCTGCAGACTCTCAAACCAATAAAGCTGTAACCTGTTTTTAACTTACAGAGCACAACTATAACGTGCAATGCAGTTAATGACAGCTTAAACTACTGTAAGTCAATAAACCTGTCTGTTTTTAACTTACAGAGCACAACCAGTTAGCCTAATGTACAATGCGTCTACAATTAATGACAGCTGATAAACTACTGCAAGTCAACAAACCTTGTTGAGTTTCAAACCCAGTGTAAAGTTAACTAAATAAAACTGTAAAGTTACATGGTCAACAATAAAGCTGTAACCTGTTTTTAACGTACAGAGCACAACCTGTGCAATGCAGTTAATGACAGCTTAAACTACTGTAAGTCAACACACCCTGCAGACTCTCAAACCAATAAAGCTGTAACCTGTTTTTAACTTACAGAGCACAACTATAATGTGCAATGCAGTTAATGACAGCTTAAACTACTGTAAGTCAACACACCCTGCAGACTCTCAAACCAATAAAGCTGTAACCTGTTTTTAACTTACAGAGCACAACTATAATGTGCAATGCAGTTAATGACAGCTTAAACTACTGTAAGTCAATAAACCTGTCTGTTTTTAACTTACAGAGCACAACTATAACGTGCAATGCAGTTAATGACAGCTTAAACTACTGTAAGTCAATAAACCTTTCTGTTTTTTACTTACAGAGCACAACCAGTTAGCCTAATGTACAATGCGTCTACAATTAATGACAGCTGATAAACTACTGCAAGTCAACAAACCTTGTTGAGTTTCAAACCCAGTGTAAAGTTAACTAAATAAAACTGTAAAGTTACATGGTCAACAATAAAGCTGTAACCTGTTTTTAACGTACAGAGCACAACCTGTGCAATGCAGTTAATGACAGCTTATTAAATACTGTAAGTCAATGAACTGTAACCTGTTTTTAACTTACAGAGCACAACTATAACGTGCAATGCAATCACTGACAGCTTAAACTACTGTAAGTCAACACACCCTGCAGACTCTCAAACCAGTGTAATGTTAGGCTATATCGAAATAAAACCTTTGGTAAAATGGCCAATGCTGAGCTAAACATGTTTACTCACCACATATTTGCGTTCAGCGTGTCTTTGTTTGGGTCTCGTTGTATGAAGTTTTAAAGCCAAAGTTTATGATGAATGGCGGAGCAGCTGTGGTGTTTGTTGTCCTCTCTCACGTGCGGCCGTGCAGCAGATGCTACGTGTTACGTAGGCAGGTTATAGGTAACGGAGAGAGGGAATAATGGCAAGCTCATCAGACGTTTCCTAAAAAATAAACATTGTTCATTATTCTCGAGTCCGAGTCGAGTCTGAAGGCTTTTGAGGACGAGTCTCAAGTTGAGTCTGAAGTCACTGTGTGTGCGACTTAAGTCTCTAACTCTGTATTAAGGTTATCACACCACCGGTCCATGCCTACTCTGCATCCCCTACCCCTAACTCTACCCTGATCCCTAACCCTTTCCTACCCGGAAAAGTACAGCACATTTTAATACAAATCATCATCATCATCATCATCATCAGAGATGACGGGGAGCATCAGTTTGCTGATGGAGCAGCTGAGGTCAGCCAGCATGTCTGACCGTTGGTTAAAACTGGACTACATTTAACAGAAAAGTTCAGATTTTGTAGATCATAACCTCTATTTTAGTGACATTTGATGACCACACTTTCCAAATGTAACAGGGTGGATCTCCTGGACAGTTTCTGACAGACAGCACATTTCAGTAGTAATGCAGGTTTACTGGTGAGCCGCCACCACAGTGATGATTCGTCTGCAGTCTGGTACAAAGTTTCACATCTAACCAGATAACGCAGCTTCTTCTGATGAAGTGAGACATTTCTCCCATTGACTGGACATCATAACGTGGACATGTCTCACACCCCAGATGAAATGAATGTGTTATTGATATACTAAAATAAAAAGCAAAGATTATAAAAGAGCTGACCTTGTTGTGACAAATGTTGAGAATATTGGGCTATGCTTAACCAGCCAGCTAACCGGGACTTCTCCTCCTCTTCAGCAGCTGGAGTTATAGAAGCGACGGAGGAGAATGAGGAAGACGGAGAGGAGGAGGAGAAAGAGGAGGGACCAGGTAGGAGGTCTTACCACCTGGAACATCATAATAATCTCCCAGGACAGTACGAGTGTGTGATGTTTGTGTGTCTGCACTCGACCAAAGTTACCTTTGTGACGGAAGAAGCTCCGCTCCGTAGTTTTTCTGTAGATCCATCAGAGGGAGGAGTCTTTGTCACACCCCCAATTAAACTTTCTTTATAGTTTTAAATCAGGTCCTTCAGTATTTGGATCGAGTCGCTTGTGGAGAACAAGGTGAGCATCTACAGCTTTCTACTTTACACATTTCTAACTTCAGCTGCTATGTTTTCATTTATTTAAACGTGGATAGAAAGTCCATCTGGCTTCTGTAAATCAATACAACATTTCCTATAATATGGAAATATATATATATATATACACACACAATACTTCCATCAGTCAGAACCTGGAAGTTCTGGTTTCACTGTGGCTCTCTGTACTGGTCCAGGTTGAGCTCAGTTCTATCTGATCACATTAGGTTGTCCCTGCAGGGTTAAACAGAGGGACACTAGAAACGCTTTCTGTCTTCAGACAGCAGAGTTGGACTGAACCTTTTCAGTTTTCTATTCCTTCGATCGCTGACTCCGGAAAATGAATGAATTCAGATTCATTAATAGTATTGTAAACTGCTAAACTCCAAACCTATTCTAGTCTAAACATGGAGCCCAGCCCCCCACAACACCTTCACTATCACTTTAAAAATGTTACTGTGAGGACGACTAACATGAGCTGATGATGTGTGTTTCAGAAACTGTGTTGCGCCGGTTCTCCAACACGTTGCGGTTCTGTTGGGTCCTACTGTCGGCTCTGCTGGACTCTCTGACTGCCTGGCTCAGAGGCCTGTGTCAGGAACACATTGACATATCGACCGTGCTCCGCATAGAGCACTGCATGCTCACGCTGCAGGCCAAGCAGGTACACACTCAGGACTACAGTCTGTAGTGTACAGTAGGTGGAAGTGTTGGAGTCGTGCAGTGTTTGTCAAGACTGCATCAGTGTGTTTTTTTGTTCGTTCAGGGTAATGTTCCCACCAGAGAGGCAATCCATGTTTACTATCAAGAACAGATGATGAAAACTTCCACAGAGTCAGGCCTGGACTACAGTACCCATGAGGCCGAGGGGCAGACCTCAGCAGAGAGGAGAATGGTGGAGGTAGAAGAGGAAGAGGGTGTGAGTCCTGAAATAGATGAAGAAGAAGCAGGAGGTCAAACAGCCGAGGAGAAACCAGAGACTAAACCAGGAGATTATCCAACATCAGGAAGAGTTCCACTTGAGCTAGCAGGAGCAGATTGTCCTGATGAAACAGAACCAGTATCAAGAAGAGAAACAGAAATAAAAACTGTTCCAGGAGGAGAGCCATCTGAAACAGAACTAGAATCAGCATCAGGAGGAGATGTCTCAGCTGAACTAGTGTCAGCAGAGGAAACTTCAGGGGTAGCAGAGGCTCCATCCTTAGGAGGTAAACCAGAGGCAGTAACAGCAGCAGGTGACCCACTGGTGGAAAGTGAAGATTACCCAGAATGCCTGGTGGCAAAAACCAGCCAAAGATTGCGACCCAAACTGTCCAGGATGGAGATCGTCCAGTCTTCATCCTCTTTGTCCTCAGAAGAGGAAAGCACCAGTCGGACTAACAGGTTAGTCCTTCTTGAAGTACTAAAAAGTAAATACATAGAATTCCTACATTGCGGGCGGTTTGGTGGCAGGTCGGTTTACCAGACAGGTCAGTCGTAGTGCTGAACATGTGAGAATTAAAGGGTTACTTATTCTACCTTCTACCTTCAGACGTTGCAGCCGGTCTTAAAGGTCTTAAAGGTAGAAGGACGCAGAGGTTTCAGCCGGTCTTAAAGGTAGAAGGACGCAGAGGTTTCAGCCGGTCTTAAAGGTCTTAAAGGTAGAAGGACGCAGAGGTTTCAGCCGGTCTTAAAGGTCTTAAAGGTAGAAGGACACAGAGGTTTCAGCCGGTCTTAAAGGTAGAAGGATACAGAGGTTTCAGCCGGTCTTAAAGGTCTTAAAGGTAGAAGGACGCAGAGGTTTCAGCAGGTCTTAAAGGTCTTAAAGGTAGAAGGACGCAGAGGTTTCAGCAGGTCTTAAAGGTCTTAAAGGTAGAAGGACGCAGAGGTTTCATCCGGTCTTAAAGGTCTTAAAGGTAGAAGGACACAGAGGTTTCAGCAGGTCTTAAAGGTCTTAAAGGTAGAAGGACACAGAGGTTTCAGGCGGTCTTAAAGGTCTTAAAGGTAGAAGGACACAGAGGTTTCATCCGGTCTTAAAGGTCTTAAAGGTAGAAGGACACAGAGGTTTCAGCAGGTCTTAAAGGTCTTAAAGGTAGAAGGACACAGAGGTTTCAGGTGGTCTTAAAGGTCTTAAAGGTAGAAGGACACAGAGGTTTCAGCCGGTCTTAAAGGTAGAAGGACGCAGAGGTTTCAGCAGGTCTTAAAGGTAGAAGGACGCAGAGGTTTCAGCCGGTCTTAAAGGTAGAAGGACGCAGAGGTTTCCGCCGGTCTTAAAGGTAGAAGGACGCAGAAGGTTCATCCGGTCTTAAAGGTCTTAAAGGTAGAAGGACGCAGAGGTTTCAGCCGGTCTTAAAGGTAGAAGGACGCAGAGGTTTCAGCCGGTCTTAAAGGTCTTAAAGGTAGAAGGACGCAGAGGTTTCAGCCGGTCTTAAAGGTCTTAAAGGTAGAAGGACACAGAGGTTTCAGCCGGTCTTAATGGTAGAAGGACACAGAGGTTTCAGCCGGTCTTAAAGGTCTTAAAGGTTGAAGAACGCAGAGGTTTCAGCCGGTCTTAAAGGTCTTAAAGGTAGAAGGACGCAGAGGTTTCAGCCGGTCTTAAAGGTAGAAGGACACAGAGGTTTCAGCCAGTCTTAAAGGTCTTAAAGGTAGACGGACACAGAGGTTTCAGCCGGTCTTAAAGGTAGAAGGACACAGAGGTTTCAGCCAGTCTTAAAGGTCTTAAAGGTAGACGGACACAGAGGTTTCAGCCGGTCTTAAAGGTCTTAAAGGTAGAAGGACACAGAGGTTTCAGCAGGTCTTAAAGGTCTTAAAGGTAGACGGACACAGAGGTTTCAGCCGGTCTTAAAGGTAGAAGGACACAGAGGTTTCAGCCAGTCTTAAAGGTAGAAGGACACAGAGGTTTCAGCCGGTCTTAAAGGTAGAAGGACACAGAGGTTTCAGCCAGTCTTAAAGGTAGAAGGACACAGAGGTTTCAGCTGGTCTTAAAGGTAGAAGGACACAGAGGTTTCAGCAGGTCTTAAAGGTCTTAAAGGTAGAAGGACACAGAGGTTTCAGCCGGTCTTAAAGGTAGAAGGACACAGAGGTTTCAGCCAGTCTTAAAGGTAGAAGGACACAGAGGTTTCAGCTGGTCTTAAAGGTAGAAGGACACAGAGGTTTCAGCAGGTCTTAAAGGTCTTAAAGGTAGAAGGACACAGAGGTTTCAGGCGGTCTTAAAGGTCTTAAAGGTAGAAGGACGCAGAGGTTTCAGCCGGTCTTAAAGGTCTTAAAGGTAGAAGGACGCAGAGGTTTCAGCCGGTCTTAAAGGTCTTAAAGGTAGAAGGACACAGAGGTTTCAGCAGGTCTTAAAGGTCTTAAAGGTAGAAGGACAAAGAGGTTTCAGCCGGTCTTAAAGGTCTTAAAGGTAGAAGGACACAGAGGTTTCAGGCGGTCTTAAAGGTCTTAAAGGTAGAAGGACGCAGAGGTTTCAGCCGGTCTTAAAGGTCTTAAAGGTAGAAGGACGCAGAGGTTTCAGCCGGTCTTAAAGGTCTTAAAGGTAGAAGGACGCAGAGGTTTCAGCCGGTCTTAAAGGTAGAAGGACACAGAGGTTTCAGCCGGTCTTAAAGGTAGAAGGACGCAGAGGTTTCCGCCGGTCTTAAAGGTAGAAGGACGCAGAAGGTTCATCCGGTCTTAAAGGTCTTAAAGGTAGAAGGACGCAGAGGTTTCAGCCGGTCTTAAAGGTAGAAGGACGCAGAGGTTTCAGCCGGTCTTAAAGGTCTTAAAGGTAGAAGGACGCAGAGGTTTCAGCCGGTCTTAAAGGTCTTAAAGGTAGAAGGACGCAGAGGTTTCAGCCGGTCTTAATGGTAGAAGGACACAGAGGTTTCAGCCGGTCTTAAAGGTCTTAAAGGTTGAAGGACGCAGAGGTTTCAGCCGGTCTTAAAGGTCTTAAAGGTAGAAGGACGCAGAGGTTTCAGCCGGTCTTAAAGGTCTTAAAGGTAGAAGGACGCAGAGGTTTCAGCCGGTCTTAAAGGTAGAAGGACACAGAGGTTTCAGCCAGTCTTAAAGGTCTTAAAGGTAGACGGACACAGAGGTTTCAGCCGGTCTTAAAGGTAGAAGGACACAGAGGTTTCAGCCAGTCTTAAAGGTCTTAAAGGTAGAAGGACACAGAGGTTTCAGCCAGTCTTAAAGGTCTTAAAGGTAGACGGACACAGAGGTTTCAGCCGGTCTTAAAGGTCTTAAAGGTAGAAGGACGCAGAGGTTTCAGCAGGTCTTAAAGGTCTTAAAGGTAGAAGGACACAGAGGTTTCAGCCGGTCTTAAAGGTAGAAGGACGCAGAGGTTTCAGCCGGTCTTAAAGGTAGAAGGACGCAGAGGTTTCCGCCGGTCTTAAAGGTAGAAGGACGCAGAAGGTTCATCCGGTCTTAAAGGTCTTAAAGGTAGAAGGACGCAGAGGTTTCAGCCGGTCTTAAAGGTAGAAGGACGCAGAGGTTTTAGCCGGTCTTAAAGGTCTTAAAGGTAGAAGGACGCAGAGGTTTCAGCCGGTCTTAAAGGTCTTAAAGGTAGAAGGACACAGAGGTTTCAGCCGGTCTTAATGGTAGAAGGACGCAGAGGTTTCCGCCGGTCTTAAAGGTAGAAGGACGCAGAAGGTTCATCCGGTCTTAAAGGTCTTAAAGGTAGAAGGACGCAGAGGTTTCAGCCGGTCTTAAAGGTAGAAGGACGCAGAGGTTTTAGCCGGTCTTAAAGGTCTTAAAGGTAGAAGGACGCAGAGGTTTCAGCCGGTCTTAAAGGTCTTAAAGGTAGAAGGACACAGAGGTTTCAGCCGGTCTTAATGGTAGAAGGACACAGAGGTTTCAGCCGGTCTTAAAGGTCTTAAAGGTTGAAGGACGCAGAGGTTTCAGCCGGTCTTAAAGGTCTTAAAGGTAGAAGGACGCAGAGGTTTCAGCCGGTCTTAAAGGTCTTAAAGGTAGACGGACACAGAGGTTTCAGCCGGTCTTAAAGGTCTTAAAGGTAGACGGACACAGAGGTTTCAGCCGGTCTTAAAGGTCTTAAAGGTAGAAGGACACAGAGGTTTCAGCCGGTCTTAAAGGTCTTAAAGGTAGACGGACACAGAGGTTTCAGCAGGTCTTAAAGGTCTTAAAGGTAGAAGGACGCAGAGGTTTCAGCCGGTCTTAAAGGTCTTAAAGGTAGAAGGACGCAGAGGTTTCAGCCGGTCTTAAAGGTAGAAGGATACAGAGGTTTCAGCCAGTCTTAAAGGTCTTAAAGGTAGACGGACACAGAGGTTTCAGCCGGTCTTAAAGGTAGAAGGACACAGAGGTTTCAGCCAGTCTTAAAGGTCTTAAAGGTAGAAGGACACAGAGGTTTCAGCCAGTCTTAAAGGTCTTAAAGGTAGACGGACACAGAGGTTTCAGCCGGTCTTAAAGGTCTTAAAGGTAGAAGGACGCAGAGGTTTCAGCAGGTCTTAAAGGTCTTAAAGGTAGAAGGACACAGAGGTTTCAGCCGGTCTTAAAGGTAGAAGGACACAGAGGTTTCAGCCAGTCTTAAAGGTCTTAAAGGTAGACGGACACAGAGGTTTCAGCCGGTCTTAAAGGTAGAAGGACACAGAGGTTTCAGCCGGTCTTAAAGGTAGAAGGACGCAGAGGTTTTAGCCGGTCTTAAAGGTCTTAAAGGTAGAAGGACGCAGAGGTTTTAGCCGGTCTTAAAGGTCTTAAAGGTAGAAGGACGCAGAGGTTTCAGCCGGTCTTAAAGGTAGAAGGACACAGAGGTTTCAGCCGGTCTTAAAGGTAGAAGGACACAGAGGTTTCAGCCGGTCTTAAAGGTAGAAGGACGCAGAGGTTTCAGCCGGTCTTAAAGGTCTTAAAGGTAGAAGGACGCAGAGGTTTCAGCAGGTCTTAAAGGTCTTAAAGGTAGAAGGACGCAGAGGTTTCAGCCGGTCTTAAAGGTCTTAAAGGTAGAAGGACGCAGAGGTTTCAGCCGGTCTTAAAGGTCTTAAAGGTAGAAGGACGCAGAGGTTTCAGCCGGTCTTAAAGGTCTTAAAGGTAGAAGGACGCAGAGGTTTCAGCCGGTCTTAAAGGTCTTAAAGGTAGAAGGACGCAGAAGGTTCATCCGGTCTTAAAGGTCTTAAAGGTAGAAGGACACAGAGGTTTCAGCCGGTCTTAAAGGTAGAAGGACGCAGAGGTTTCAGCCGGTCTTAAAGGTCTTAAAGGTAGAAGGACGCAGCAGTTGGATCACGTCAAGTTCTCCTTCTCTGTTTGAACAGGTGCGAAGAACCAAACCAGCAACTTCTTGTCGACACGCAGCCTATGAACACCATCACCAATGCCTCCTCCCCCACCTCGCTCTCCTCTCCCCTCCTCCCCCCCTCCTACAGCCTCGCTCTGGGCCTGGACCTGCACGAAGAGGAGGCAGGGGGAGCAGGGGAACACAGCGGCAGCAGTCAGTTGCTGGTTCAGACTCTGTGGGAAAGGAGGGACTTCCTGTCTGACTCGGTCTCCACTTCCTGTCTGCTGGCGTCTCGCACTCAGGAGCTGACAGCCAGCGAGCTGCTCAGGAACAGGTGAGTCATAGTTGAGTCACAGATCATTCACATGGAACCTGCTGATGATTCACATTCTGCTGATCTCTGTTTCAGGACTTTCTACGATGAGGAGCTGGAGGCATCAGACCAGTTCTACGCCAACCAACACCAGCTGCTCCAGCTGTGCTACGCCCTCTACAACATCCTGGCAGCCAGGTAAACTCTGAACCGTGGTAACTCCACAGATCCCTCTCTGCTTGCTGAGATACTCAGAAGTCCTTTCCTGGTTGCTCTGGCTCCTGCTGCCCTCCCTCAGGTCGGAGACGGTGTGTTACCTGGTCATCGTGTTGAACCACATCGTGTCTGCCAGCTGTCTGACGCTGGTGCTTCCTGTTCTGGTGTTTCTCTGGGCGACGCTGTCCGTCCCTCGACCCAGTAAGACCTTCTGGATGACGGCCATCATCTACACCGAGGTTCACCTGCTGCTCTTATTTACCTTCAAACTGTGTTATTCATCTGTCAGCAGGTGTTGCATTCATGCCCGTCTGTGTCCTCAGGTTGCCATAGTCATCAAATATTTCTTCCAGTTCGGTTTCTTTCCGTTCAACCAGAAACTGGAGGTGGACCGCTCCAAACCATTCCACCCACCGAACATCCTGGGGGTGGAGAAGAAGGAAGGCTACGTCCTGTATGACCTGCTGCAGCTGCTTGCTTTGTTCTATCACCGAGCCATACTCAAGGTGAAAAACACTAAATAATCGCTTCCAGGTGGAAAAGGGCTGAAGAATGTTCTTCCTGTTGTTGTGGCTGGCGGCGTAAAATGTGGACATGGAGTCCTGCCGTGCAGAGAATAAGACTAAACGTCATGTTTATTCCGAGGCATACATAGTAATTGTAGTACCAAAACTTTCTCCAACTTTCTCTTCCAGTGCCACGGACTGTGGGACCAGACTGTGCCCACGGAGGCCGACACTCTCCGTCACCCTTCCGCCCACCGCGCCACCTTCATTGAACCTGATGACCCCATCAACACGCTGCGGCGCCGTGGCAGGAGAAGGACGCGCTCCAGCTCCACACAGCAGCGCTCTCCTGCAGGTAGAGTCTAACGCAGCTTAACACAACAAGACTGGAGTGAAAGTTGATCTTCCACCTCAGTGTGTCTCCAGGTGTCTCCAGGCGTTGCACAATTCTAATGCGTATTTTGTTTTTAAAATTATACAAAGGCTTTTGTGTCTCAGAGTGAGCTGTGTGAAGTCTGATAAATGTCCTGAAGTTATGAATGAATGATTTTATTCGATGATTAGAAAACACGCTAAACTCTGCGCTGCAGTCATCAGGTTTATGTTAGCTGGCATTTGCTGGCTTTCTGTCTGTGTCAAGTGTTCAGCAGATGAAAAAATCAACGGCCAAAATGTCCAGTGGCAAATATAATAAAATAAATAAATGAATTAATAGCATATGAAATAAAGACATATAACGGAAGTGACTCTTCTGACTGTCTGTCTCATTGGTGGCGTTAGCTACTTTTCACCCGTTTGATATAAATTGAAGTTTATAGTGGCCCCCAAACAAAGTGGGGCACATCACATGATCTACTTAGTCCAGCATGTGAAGGAACTTTACTGTTTTAAAAAAAGCATTTCAAAGATGGGAGAGTAAGAAAAAGGAAAGGAGTTTTCTCGGGTTTGTTGGCCAAGGTGACTCAGAAGCAGCAGCCAGGTAGGTACCAGGAGCTTCTGAGTGAAAGAAGAAAAACCTCAGGTGTGGAGTCCACGGAGAAGGTCCACCAGTCAGTCAGCTGTCAGACAGCTGGGAAAAAGGCTTTGGTGGACACACGGTGCAAAGAAACGAATGTTGTTAATGTTTTCTTCATCATGTGTTTTCAGGCAGCGTGAGCTCCAGACATCAGCAGCCCAGCAGGTTGGATCTGCTGCTGGAGAAACTCAGAGAAGTTTCCATCAGAGCCAGGAAATACTCTGTTAGCAGGTATGCTAACAGTAATGTCTTTTCCAGTTGGAGTTTAGCACTCAACTGAACGCTTTTCATAAAAGAGCAGGTCTAGACCGTACTCTATGATGTTATTTACAGAAGCCCAACAGTTCCCACCAAGAGCAGCACTAGGCGACAGAGGCAAGGAAAAACTTCCTTTAAGAGGCAGAAACCTCGAGCAGAACCATGACTCAGGGTGGGCGGCCATCTGCCTCCACCGGTTGGGGTGAAGGAGAGAGAGAGAGAGAGAGAGGGGGATGGAAGGAGAGAGAGGGAGGCAGCCTACACAATATCCACACACAGAGGTACAGACAGTAAAGGTGATGTTGCTATAGACTAAATGAAAAATGTTACAGATATTTATAGTAGTGTTAATGGTAACAATCGTAATGTTAATGATTATAATAACAATAATAACAGTAGGACTAGTAACAATAATTGTAGCAGAGGGTGTCGAGCAGGAACACGGGGGCAGCAGGTGACCCGCAACCACAGATCCAGACTCCACAGCTCCAGAGCCAGAAACACCTGCAGGAAGTGATAGGAGGAGAGAGGAGAGGGACGAGAAAGCACAAGACTACCAGAAAGGGGAGAAGTTGTGTTAGTAACATGCAATAATGGGATGAGGTTGCATACAGAGGGAGAGAAAGTAGAGTAGAGAGGAGCTAAGTGCATCATGGGAAATCCCCCGGCAGTCTAGGCCTATAGCAGCATAACTAAGGGATGGTTCAGGACTCACCTGAGCCAGCCCTAACTATAAGCTTTATCAAAGAGGAAAGTCTTAAGCCTACTCTTAAATGTGGAGATGGTGTCTGCCTCCTGAACCCAAACTGGAACCTGGTTTCACAGGAGAGGAGCTTGATAGCTGAACGCTCTGGCTCCTAGTCTACTTTTGGAGACTCTAGGAACCACAAGTAACCCTGCATTCTGGGAGCGCAGTGCTCTGGTGGGGTAGTAAGGTACTATGAGCTCTTTAAGATAAGATGGTGCCTGACCATTAAGAGCTTTGTAGGTAAGAAGAATGATTTTAAATTCTATTCTGGATTTTACTGGAAGCCAATGCAGAGAAGCTAAAACAGGAGAAATATGATCTCTTTTCCTGGTTCCTGTCAGAACACGTGCTGCAGCATTCTGGATCAGCTGAAGAGTCTTAACGGACTTTTTCGAGCAGCCTGATAATAAGGAATTGCAGTAATCCAGCCTAGAAGTAACAAATGCATGGACTAGTTTTTCTGCATCATTTTTAGACAGGATGTTCCTGATTTTTGCAATATTACGTAGGTGAAAAAAGGCGGTCCTTGAAATTTGCTTAATGTGAGACTTAAACGACATGTCCTGATCAAAGATAACTCCAAGATTCCTCACAGTGGTGCTGGAGGCCAAGGCGATGCCATCAAGGGAAACTATATCTTTAGATAATAATGGATTGATATAAATACTTCAACATGAAGAACCAAACGATAGCAAGACAAAAGGAGGAAAACTCCATGTTTAAGAACACTAGAGAACACCAGAGAACACTACAGAACACCTAGAACACCAGAGAACACCTAGAACACTAGAGAACAACAGAGAACACCAGAGAACACAAGAGAACACCTACAACGGCAGAAAACACCAGAGAGCACCAGAGATCACCTAGAACACTAGAGAACACCTACAACGGCAGAAAACACCAGAGAACACCAGAGAACACCTAGAACACTAGAGAACACTTAGAACAGCAGAAAACACCAGAGAACACCAGAGAACACCTAGAACACTAGAGAACACCTACAACAGCAGAAAACACCAGAGAACACCAGAGATCACCTAGAACACTAGAGAACACCTACAACGGCAGAAAACACCAGAGAACACCAGAGAACACCTAGAACACTAGAGAACACCTACAACGGCAGAAAACAACAGAGAACACTAGAGAACACCTAGAACACAAGTTTCCGCGATATTTGCTTTAATTTGCGAGTTTCAGTATTATATCATGGAGCTAACCGTCTTTGTTTTAGTATTTTCTTTTTTAGAGGGGCTACAGAGTCGAGTGTCATTCGCAGCGAGCCTGCAGCACTATCAACAAGATGATCGATTTGGGAGGGACTGAAATTAGCATAGGAGTCCTCCGTTACTTTGTGACTAGATAATGTATTTAGAGCTGATGGAATCGCATCCTTAAATTTAGCTATAGCACTATCAGACAGACATCTTGTATAGAAAGTTTTGCCCAATGGCGTGTAGTTCAGCAATACAAACTCAAAAATTATCAAACAGTGGTCGGATAAAGAGGGATTCTGTGGGAACACCACTAAATGTTCAATTTCAATACCATATACCAGAACAAGGTCGAGGGTGTGGTTAAAACAGTGAGTCGGTTCATGAACACTCTGAGAGAAGCCGATGGAATCTAACAAAGAGATAAACGCAGTACTGAAGCTGTCATTCTCAACGTCCACATGAATATTAAAATCCCCTACAATAATAACTTTGTCCGTTTTAAGGACTAAAGTTGACAAAAACTCTGCAAATTCAGATAAGAATTCAGAATACGGGCCAGGTGCTCGGTACACTATAACGATGAGAATTGGTTGCAGTGATTTCCAACTTGGGTGTGAAAGACCAAGAACAAGGCTTTCAAATGAGTTATAGTTTAGTTTAGGTTTAGAGCTGATTAGTAGGCAAGAGTTGAAGATAGCTGCAACTCCACCTCCTCGGCCTGTGCCTCGAGGAATGTGAGTATTAATATGACTGGGAGGGGTGGATTCATTTAGGCTAACATATTCTCCATCACCCAGCCAGGTTTCAGTAAGACAAAATAAATCAATATCATAATCTGATATTAGTTCATTTACTAGTACAGCTTTAGAAGAGAGAGATCTGATGTTTAAGAGTCCACATTTAACTCTCCTATTCGTTTGCACTATTGCTCTTGTGGTTTTAATTTTTATGAGGTTTTTATGCACAGCTCCTCTTCTGTTTACCTTTGATTTAAATAATTTCGATGGTCGGGGGGGCAGACACCGTCACTATAGGATTTTCACTAAGTAACTCCTGAAATGGAGGAGCAGAGAAGTGTGTTAGACTGCGACTCTGCGTAGGGTTTTGGGTGGGTAACTGCTGAAAAAGAAGGGCAGAGAAGTGTGTTAGACTGCGACTCTGCCTCCTGGTCTCAACTCTGGGTTGTCATGGATTTGGTCCACTAATAAACTTGGCCAGATTTCTAGAAATGAGAGCTGCTCCTTCCCAAGTGGGATGGATGCCGTCTCTCCGAATTGGGGACTGGCTAGCTACAGTAGCTAAAGACTGATCTACCAAGGTGCGGAGCCGGACTTCTAAATCATAGAGCCTCGCTTCCATGTCTACAAATAAACTACACTTATTACACGTACCATTACCGCTAAAGGAGGCAGAGGAGTAACTGAACATCTGACACACCGAGCAGGAGAAAGTAGGAGAGCGAGAGGGAGAAGGAGAAGCCATCGCTAGCTGCTGAGTTAAAGTCGCTAACAGCTAATCTAAGGCACTGTAGCGTTAGCTACCAAAACTTTTGAACACATCTGAAACAGCACTCGCTAAAAGATGGAAATTACTGTGAGTGCTTAGGCATAATTACTGTAAGAAGAAGGGTTTAGCAGACCGTTAGCCGCTGTAATGGATGTACTGACTGGGTTGGGACTGCATGACGTGCTGACGTATTGCGGTAAGCGTGTCGACTCATTTCCGTTTCCGGTGCTTGTGTGTTGGTACCGTGTTGTGCTGCTCTCGCTAAATAACAGTTACATTTGTTTGATTACAGCGGCCAACTGTTCGCTAAACACTTATTCTTTACAGTAATTTTGCCTAAGCACTCACAGTTCTTTCCATCTTTTAGTGACTGCTGTTCAATCTCATAGTTGTTCTAAAGTTTTGGTAGCTGACGCTACAGTACTTTAGCTTAGCCGTTAGCGACTTTAGCTTAGCAGCTAGCGATGGCTTCTCCTTCTCCCTCTCTCTCTCCTACTTTCTCCTGCTCGGTGTGTCAGATGTTTAGTTACTCCTCTGCCTCCTTTAGCGGTAATGGTACATGTAATAAGTGTAGTTTATTTATAGACATGGAGGCGAGGCTCAGTGAGTTAGAAGTCCGGCTCCGCACCCTGGTAGATCAGTCTTTAGCTACTGTAGCTAGCCAGTCCCCGGTAGTCGGTGCGGAACGGCCTGAGTTAGCCTCTGGTAGCCGTCCTCCGGCATCCCCTGTGCAGCCAGGAAAGGGGGGCTGGGTGACTGTCCGAAGGAGGAATAGTAAGCATTCAAAGTCCACGGGGCATCATCAACCTGTTCACGTTTCTAACAGATTTTCCCCACTCAGCGACACACCCGCTGAGAAACCAACTCTGATCATTGGCAGCTCCATTTTGAGAAACGTGAATTTAGCGAAGCCAGCGGCCATAGTTAAGTGCATCCCTGGGGCCAGAGCGGGCGACATTGAGTCTTATTTGAAACTGCTGGCTAAGGATAAACGTAAATACAGTAAGATTGTTATTCACGTCGGCGGTAATGACTCCCGGTTACGCCAATCGGAGGTCACTAAGATTAATGTTGAGTCGGTGTGTACATATGCAAAAACAATGTCGGACACCGTAGTTTTCTCTGGACCCCTGCCAAATCTGACCAGTGATGACATGTATAGCCGCATGTCGTCATTCCGCCGCTGGTTGTCGAGGTGGTGTCCAGCAAACGATGTGGGCTTTGTTGATCATTGGCAGACTTTCTGGGGAAGACCTGGTCTGATCCGGAGAGACGGCATCCATCCCACTTGGGAAGGAGCAGCTCTCATTTCTAGAAATCTGGCCAAGTTTATTAGTGGACCAAATCCATGACAACCCAGAGTTGAGACCAGGAGGCAGAGTCGCAGTTAACACACTTCTCTGCCCTTCTTTTTCAGCAGTTACCCACCCAAAACCCTACGCAGAGTCGCAGTCTAACACACTTCTCTGCTCCTCCATTTCAGGAGTTACTTAGTGAAAATCCTATAGTGACGGTGTCTGTCCCCCGACCATCGAAATTATTTAAAAAGGTAAACAGAAGAGGAGCTGTGCATAAAAACCTTATAAAAATTAAAACCACAAGAGCAATAGTGCAAACAAATAGGAGAGTTAAATGTGGACTCTTAAACATCAGATCTCTCTCTTCTAAAGGTGTACTAGTAAATGAACTAATATCAGATTATGATATTGATTTATTTGGTCTTACTGAAACCTGGCTGGGTGATGGAGAATATGTTAGCCTAAATGAATCCACCCCTCCCAGTCATATTAATACTCACATTCCTCGAGGCACAGGCCGAGGAGGTGGAGTTGCAGCTATCTTCGACTCTAGCCTATTAATCAGCTCTAAACCTAAACTAAACTATAACTCATTTGAAAGTCTTGTTCTTAGTCTTTCGCACCCAAGTTGGAAATCACTGCAACCAATTCTTTTTGTTATAGTGTACCGAGCACCTGGCCCGTATTCTGAATTCTTATCTGAATTTGCAGAGTTTTTGTCAACTTTAGTCCTTAAAACGGACAAAGTTATTATTGTAGGGGATTTTAATATTCATGTAGATGTTGAGAATGACAGCTTCAGTACTGCGTTTATCTCTCTGTTAGATTCCATCGGCTTCTCTCAGAGTGTTCATGAACCGACTCACTGTTTTAACCACACCCTTGACCTTGTTTTGGTGTATGGTATTGAAATTGAACATTTAGTGGTGTTCCCACAGAATCCCTCTTTATCCGACCACTGTTTGATAACTTTTGAGTTTGTATTGCTGAACTACTCGCCATTGGGCAAAAATTTCTATACAAGATGTCTGTCTGATAGTGCTATAGCTAAATTTAAGGATGCGATTCCATCAGCTCTAAATACATTATCTAGTCACAAAGTAACGGAGGACTCCTATGCTAATTTCAGTCCCTCCCAAATCGATCATCTTGTTGATAGTGCTGCTGGCTCGCTGCGAATGACACTCGACTCTGTAGCCCCTCTAAAAAAGAAAATACTAAAACAAAGACGGTTAGCTCCATGGTATAATACTGAAACTCGCAAATTAAAGCAAATATCACGGAAACTTGAGAGGAATTGGCGTTCCACCAAAGTGGAAAATTCTCGTTTAATTTGGCAAGATAGTCTTAAAACTTATAGGAAGGCCCTCCGTAATGCCAGAGCAGCGTACTACTCGTCATTAATAGAGGAAAATAGGAACAACCCCAGGTTTCTTTTCAGCACTGTAGCCAGGCTGACAGAGAGTCACAGCTCTATTGAGCCAAGTATTCCCATAGCTCTCAGTAGTTACGACTTCATGAGCTTCTTTAATGATAAAATTCTAGCTATTAGAGACAAAATTCACCAAGACCTGCCCTCAACTGGCACCAACTTATCTCTAACTCAGGAACCTTAGAAACAGCTGTAGAACCAGATACATGTTTAGACTGTTTTGCTTCCCTCAATCTTTACCAACTAACTTCAATAATTTCTTCATCTAAACCATCAACCTGCCTCTTAGACCCCATCCCGACTAGGCTGCTTAAAGATGTTTTACCCTTAGTCAGCACCTCTATACTAGATATGATCAATCTATCTTTATCAACAGGCTATGTACCACAGTACTTTAAAGTAGCTGTAATTAAACCTCTTCTGAAAAAGCCCAAACTTGATCCGGATGTTTTATCAACTATAGACCTATATCTAACCTTCCATTTCTCTCTAAGGTTCTGGAGAAAGCAGTTGCTAAACAGCTGTGTGACTTTCTACAGAGCAATAGTTTATTTGAGGATTTTCAGTCAGGATTTAGAGCTCATCATAGCACAGAGACAGCACTGGTGAAAATTACTAATGACCTCCTTATTGCATCAGACAAAGGACTTGTCTCTGTACTGGTTTTATTAGATCTTAGTGCTGCATTTGATACCATTGACCATCAGATCCTATTGCAGAGACTGGAATATTTCATTGGCATTAAAGGAACCGCTCTAAGCTGGTTTAAGTCCTATTTATCAGATCGATTTCAGTTTGTACATGTTAACGATGAGTCCTCCATGCACGCCAAAGTTACTCATGGAGTTCCTCAAGGATCTGTCCTTGGACCAATCCTCTTCACTTTATATATGCTTCCTTTAGGCAATATTATCAGGAAACATTCCATAAGCTTTCATTGTTATGCAGATGATACTCAGTTATATCTATCGATCAAGCCAGATGAAACTCATCAGTTAGCTAAACTTCAAATGTGCCTTCAGGATGTTAAAACCTGGATGAGCTGTAATTTTCTATGTTAAACTCAGATAAAACTGAAGTTATTGTTCTGGGGCCTAAGCACCTCCGTGACGCATTATCTAAAGATATAGTTTCCCTGGATGGCATCGCCTTGGCCTCCAGCACCACTGTGAGGAATCTTGGAGTTATCTTTGATCAGGACATGTCGTTTAAGTCCACATTAAGCAAATTTCAAGGACCGCCTTTTTTCACCTACGTAATATTGCGAAAATCAGGAACATCCTGTCTAAAAATGATGCAGAAAAACTAGTCCATGCATTTGTTACTTCTAGGCTGGATTACTGCAATTCCTTATTATCAGGCTGCTCGAAAAAGTCCATTAAGACTCTTCAGCTGATCCAGAATGCTGCAGCACGTGTTCTGACAGGAACCAGGAAAAGAGATCACATTTCTCCTGTTTTAGCTTCTTTGCATTGGCTTCCAGTAAAATCCAGAATAGAATTTAAAATCATTCTTCTTACCTACAAAGCTCTTAATGGTCAGGCACCATCTTATCTTAAAGAGCTCATAGTACCTTACTACCCCACCAGAGCACTGCGCTCCCAGAATGCAGGGTTACTTGTGGTTCCTAGAGTCTCCAAAAGTAGACTAGGAGCCAGAGCGTTCAGCTATCAAGCTCCTCTCCTGTGGAACCAGGTTCCAGTTTGGGTTCAGGAGGCAGACACCATCTCCACATTTAAGAGTAGGCTTAAGACTTTCCTCTTTGATAAAGCTTATAGTTAGGGCTGGCTCAGGTAGTCCTGAACCATCCCTTAGTTATGCTGCTATAGGCCTAGACTGCCGGGGGATTTCCCATGATGCACTGAGCTCCTCTCTCCTCTACTTTCTCTCCCTCTGTATGCAACCTTATCCCATTATTGCATGTTACTAACACAACTTCTCCCCTTTCTGGTAGTCTTGTGCTTTCTCGTCCCTCTCCTCTCTCCTCCTATCACTTCCTGCAGGTTTTCTGGCTCTGGAGCTGTGGAGTCTGGATCTGTGGCTGCGGGTCGCCTGCTGCCCCCGTGTTCCTGCTCGACACCCTCTACTGCAACGACTATTGTTGCTAGTCTTATTGTTATTATAATCATTAACATTACGATGGTTACCATTAACACTATTATAAATATCTGTACCATTTTTCATTTAGTTTATAGCAACATTACCTTCGCTGTCTGTACCTCTGTGTGTATATTGTGTAGGCTGCCTCCCTCCCCTCTCTCTCTCCTTACATCCCTCTCTCTCTCTCTCTCTCTCTCTCTTCTCTCTCTCTCTCTTTCACTCTTCTCTCTCTCTTCTCTCTCTCTCTCTCTCACCCCAACCGGTCGAGGCAGATGGCCGCCCACCCTGAGCCATGGTTCTGCTCGAGGTTTCTGCCTCTTAAAAGGAAGTTTTTCCTTGCCTCTGTCGCCTAGTGCTTGCTCTTGGTGGGAACTGTTGGGCTTCTGTAAATATCATCACAGAGTACGGTCTAGACCTGCTCTTTTATGAAAAGCGCTGTGAGATAACTGTTGTTGTGATTTGGCGCTATATAAATAAAATTGAATTGAATTGAATTGAATTAATGACAAATCTAACAAATGCAACTGGTATTTAGCGAAAGCAGCACAACACCGGAAACGGAAATGAGTCAACCGCAGAATGTCAGCCAGGTTTGAGGGTTCTGCGCAGTATCTTAGCTGTTCCTAGGACTGCACTCTTCTTGACAGAGACGTCAGATGTTGTACCTGGAATCTGCTGGAGCCACTCTCCCAGTTTGGGGGTCACATTCATACACTGAGCCTAAGTGCTCAAACGGAAACTAACATTCACACACAAATCGGGCAAATCGGGGTTCAGTATCTTGCCCAAGGACACTTCGTCACGCAACCAGGGGGAGCCAGGGATTGAACCGGCCAACCCGCTCTACCTCCTGAGCCACAGCCGCCCCTATCTATCTATCTATCTATCTATCTATCTAATGAACAATTCCCCAGTCTACTCAGGGACAACATTCAGTCAGTCTTCAACCATGGAGCTGGAGTCGGATGTCGCTCTGCTACACTCCCTTTCTTTAACTGGATTTGACAGATAAACTCAAGTCATTATCAATGCACAATTAGTACAACATTAATATTTAAACTCCTTAAAAACGTTTTAGATGGGAAGGTTCATGTAGTTGTTGTTTGTTAATATATTGACTTAATAAGGCTCTCTCTCTCTCTGTTAGGTGTATGTCTCTTTACCGGCCAGCCCTTCAGTTCTTCAGAGCTCTCGTCCAACCAGAATACAGCGCTGTCACTGATGTTTATGTCCTCATGTTCCTCGCCGACACCGTCGACTTCATCATCATTGTCTTTGGCTTCTGGGCCTTTGGAGTAAAGTTTTATTTACTGACTGCATCACATAAGCTTTAAAACATAACATAACCTTTATTTACCTCAGTTATTCTGTTTGACTTCCCAGAAACACTCTGCAGCTGCTGACATCACTTCCTCCCTGTCAGAAGACCAAGTTCCTGAAGCTTTCCTGGTGATGGTTCTGATCCAGTTTGGTACGTCCACCTGTCTGTCTGTCTGTTTACCTGTCTGTCTGTTTTCCTGTCTCACTGCCCACCTGTTTTTCTGCAGGTACCATGGTGATAGACCGGGCTCTGTACTTGAGGAAGACCGTTTTGGGGAAGTTGGTCTTCCAGGTGATTTTGGTTTTTGGGATTCACTTCTGGATGTTCTTCATTCTGCCGACGGTCACAGAGAGGTAACTCACTTTCACATGTAGCTAGTGATGAAGGGACGACCACTGGTCAGCAAATAGCAGTTAACAGCATTTAGCGCTAACACAGCAGCAGTTAGCAAAGTGTGCTAAATGTAAAATGTGTCAGTATCACTCCTTTCCAACATCTACCAAAAGATTCACTGGAAATGATGAGTCCCACTCTTTTACAAGAAGACCCGAGTCGATACCCTGGCTTTCAACTTCTTTACATCGCCTTTTATAGCTCTGTGTCAAAACATGACTTCCTCTGCTTGGTTGTTCTGTTTCATTCTTCCTGACCGCCAGATGGCGGTGCTTTAGCCCTGGATATCTCCATCTCGCATATGAGCAGGTCAAGTCATTATGCCAACACCTGTGACCTGTCACCTGTGACCCTGCGATAACTGTAGGGCGCACACCCTGGTATAAAACCCTAACGTCGTCACACAGTCTGTTCCTTCTAGCTAATAATAGGTTGATTCAGCTCATTGCTTTTGGCCCCGTAACCTGAGGGTTGAGATGGGCTGTTTTTTCTCAAACTTCCACTATCAGAAGAACAGTGGCAATCTCACTGTTGCAGTTCATGTTGAATAAGTTACTGCCAGACAGGTAAGTAGGCTAACATTTCACTTTGACGGCTAGCATTAGTATGAAGAATTGTCTTAAGACCCGGCAGCTGGCCGGCTATCAGCTGAAACTCTGCTATCTGAGATTCCTCAGGTCTGACTGCTCTGAGGGGGATTAGCTTAGTTTTGAGAATTATAAATGTCTGTTAGGCAAACAACAGGACAACTGTCTTATCAACAGTTGACAATCAAAGCTCAGTAGGGCGGGAATTGGATTGTTGATTATAAATGATATTAAGTGTGAGACAGAGACACTATAGAGTAAGGGGCCTAACTCACTGACTACTTTAAACACCTACTGCGACTAGGAAATGATGTTAGTCAACCTTCTGTGTATATAAATTATATTAATATGAGAGGGGTTGCAAGACACGTGAGAGGCACGGTTTAAATTAAGGTTAAGGTTGTACTAGTGAAAATAGCCAATCATAGTTTAGGAAAGTGGGGTGGCAGAGTCCTGTGATCACTGTGTACTTCCCCTGAGCTTCCCGTGGCCTCGGCTGGGCCACAGTTCTCCTCCTCAGTCAGCTGGTGTGAACACACATACTTAGAAGGCCCTCATGTGTTGGCTCCAGTCACAACATTTTGAACATGTGATCCTGACTTCAGATGAGTTTATAGCGAATATATGACTATTGGTTTATGCTTTGTAACATAGTTTACCTACAAAATCTACTGCAACAAGACCACTGCTATGAACGACAGCTGATCTCTGTCTTTCTGTCCACTTGTCTGTCTCTCTCACCTGTCTGTCTCCAGGCGGTTCAATCAGAATCTGGTGGCTCAGCTCTGGTATTTTGTCAAGTGTGTTTACTTTGGTCTGTCAGCCTATCAGATTCGATCTGGTTACCCGACACGAGTTCTTGGAAACTTCCTGACGAAGAGCTACAACTACCTCAACCTCTTCCTGTTCCAGGGGTGAGACACACACCAACAGTCTAACTGTTAGCCTAGCTTAGCACAAACACTGGAAGCAGGGGGAAGTCTAAGCCTAGCTTAGCACAAACACTGGAAGCAGGGGGAAGTCTAAGCCTAGCTTAGCACAAACACTGGAAGCAGGGGGAAGTCTAAGCCTAGCTTAGCACAAACACTGGAAGCAGGGGGAAGTCTAAGCCTAGCTCCACGAAAAGGGGAAAAATCCCCGACCAGAGGAGATCAGATTCTATAGAAAATATCTATAATAATGCTGGCAGACATGAATGTAATCTCTGTCTGTCTGCCTGCCTGTAGTTTCCGTCTGGTTCCCTTCCTGACGGAGCTGAGGGCGGTGATGGACTGGGTCTGGACAGACACCACTCTGTCTCTGTCCTCCTGGATCTGTGTGGAGGACGTTTATGCCCACTGCTTCGTCTTAAAGTGCTGGAGGGAGTCTGAGAAGGTATGTGTCTCTATACATGTCCATATATATTTATGTATTTGTACATGGTCAGAAGAAGCAGGTGTATATATTCATGTATTTTTGTGTACTTGTATATGTTTGAATATGTGTATATGCAGTATATTCATGTATTTGTATGTGTTGGAATATGTACAGTATATTCATGTATTTGTATGTATGTATGTGTTGTCCACAGAGGTACCCTCAGCCTCGCGGCCAGAAGAAGAAGCGCGTGGTGAAGTATGGGATGGGCGGTCTGATCGTTCTGCTGCTCATCTGTATTGTCTGGTTTCCGCTGCTCTTCATGTCGCTCATCAAATCTGTAGCTGGAGTCGTCAACCGACCGCTTGACATCTCTCTGACCATCACGCTGGGAGGGTTCCAGGTAAACTCACCTGTACCTGGTGTCTTATTTATAACGGTTGCATACGCAGCTGAGAGAGGCGCGCACCACTTCCCGTGCACAAGTTGGTCTTTAAAACAAAGTTAATGGCAGAGCGTGCGCATGTCAGGTAACCTCTGAACCACGCATACCAGAATCAGCTGTGGATCCATGTTGGCTAACACCTACAGGAATTTGTTTTGGTGAATTGCTGCTCAACAATAAGGTACCTAACAGCAATCAGGGTACCATTGGCTAACACATGGAGGTCCTCCCCAGGCTCTCCTGACCCACCACCAACCCAGTCAAGCTGGATGATGTTGCAGGCAGTATTAACAGTCACAGCGGCGTCTCCAGACTCTTTCACATCTGTCACATGTGCTCAGTGTGAACCTGCTCTCATCTGTGAAGAGATCGGGGCACCAGTGGGGGACCTGCCACTCCTGCACGGTGCTGGGCTGTGAGCACAGATCCCTCTAGAGGCCCTCATGTCATCCTCATGGAGTCCATTTCTGACCATTTGGTCAGAAACATGCACACCAAAAGCCTGCTGGTGGTTAGTTTGTTGGGCTCTGGTAGTGCTCCTCCTGTTCCTCCTTTCTCAAGGGAGCAGATACCGGACCTGCTGCAGCATATTTTACTAACAGTTTACTATTAAATGAACATTATACTATATATTTTTACGTTATAATAAATACTAATACACTCATATCAGAATCAGAATCAGCTTTATTGCCAGGTATGTGTACACATACGAGGAATTGGACTCAGGATTGTACATTGCTCACGATGTGCTTACTCATACAAAAATACAAAATCACAATAATAAAAATAAAATAAAATCAGACACAGACTTCAGTGTAGACAACAGAAATATACACACTATGAACAAAAACAATATAGACATATCGACAAATAGTGCAGTGAGCAGAGTGCAGGATGCAGGAGTATTTACATGTTGGAGGTGGAAGCTATATACAGGTACATATACATGCAGACATGAACACAGTGTGATGAAGCATAGTGCAAAGGATGCTGGAATAAATAAATGAAATATGTAAATGCTCCGTATTTGTATAGCGCCTTTCTAGTCTTTTGGACCACTCGAAGTGCATTTTTACACTACATCTGCATTCACCAGTCATACACATTCATACACTGAGCCTAAGTGCTCAAACGGAAACTAACATTCACACACATTCATACACTGGCAGAACAGCCACCAGGGGCAATTCGGGGTTCAGTATCTTGCCCAAGGACACTTCGACACGCAACCAGGGGGAGTCAGGGAACCGCCAACCTTCCGATTAACAGCCAACCCGCTCTACCTCCTGAGCCGCAGCCGCCCCATAAGCATAAGTATTTTGTGCAGGAGTTATGACTTGAGGTAGGTGGATAGGTATACAGTATCTACAATATGAGAATATCAGTATGAACAGCACTGAAATAGAGAACGATGAATAAATAAGTGTTAGCCAGTAAATAGGTGGCTGATTAGAGACAGAGTTACTGGGTTATTGCACAAGTACAGTGCTCTGTAGCGCCTACCAGAGGGGAGGAGCTGGAACAGGTTGTGTCCGGGGTGAGATGGATCTGCAGTGATGTTTCCTGACTCTGGAAACGTATAAGTCCTGAATGGAGGGCAGGTTGGCACCGATAATTTTTTCTGCAGTCCTGACTGTCTGTTGTAGTCTGCTCCTGTCCTTTTTGGTGGCAGATCCAAACCAGACAGTGATGGAGGTGCAGAGAACAGACTGGATGATGGCTGTGTAGAACTAGATCAGCAGCTCTTTAGGCAGATTGAGCTTCCTGAGCTGACGCAGGAAGTCCATCCTCTGCTGGGCCTTCTTGATGATGGTGTCAGTGTTGGGCTCCCACTTCAGGTCCTGGCATATAGTGGATAACAGAAACCTGAAGGATTCCACAGCAGACACAGGGCTGTTGAGTATGGTGATGGGGGACCGAGTGGGGGGGCTCCTCCTGAAGTCCACGATCATCTCCACAGTTTTGAGCGTGTTAAGCTTCAGGTTGTTCTGACCGTATCAGACCCCTGCCAAATCTGACCAGTGATGACATGTATAGCCGCATGTCGTCATTCCGCCGCTGGTTGTTGAGGTGGTGTCCAGCAAACGATGTGGGCTTTGTAGATCATTGGCAGACTTTCTGGGAAGACCTGGTCTGATTCGGAGATACAGCATCCATCCCACTTGGGAAGGAGCAGCTCTCATTTCTAGAAATATGGCCAAGTTTATTAGTGGACCAAATCCATGACAACCCAGAGTTGAGACCAGGAGGCAGAGTCGCAGTCTAACACACTTCTCTGCCCTTCTTTTTCAGCAGTTACCCACCCAAAACCCTACGCAGAGTCGCAGTCTAACACATTTCTCTGCTCCTCCATTTCAGGAGTTACTTAGTGAAAATCCTATAGTGACGGTGTCTGCCCCCCGACCATCGAAATTATTTAAATCAAAGGTAAACAGAAGAGGAGCTGTGCATAAAAACCTCATAAAAATTAAAACCACAAGAGCAATAGTGCAAACGAATAGGAGAGTTAAATGTGGACTCTTAAACATCAGATCTCTCTCTTCTAAAGCTGTATTAGTAAATGAACTAATATCAGATTATGGTATTGATTTATTTTGTCTTACTGAAACCTGGCTGGGTGATGGAGAATATGTTAGCCTAAATGAATCCACCCCTCCCAGTCATATTAATACTCACATTCCTCGAGGCACAGGCCGAGGAGGTGGAGTTGCAGCTATCTTCGACTCTAGCCTACTAATCAGCTCTAAACCTAAACTAAACTATAACTCATTTGAAAGCCTTGTTCTTAGTCTTTCACACCCAAGTTGGAAATCACTGCAACCAATTCTCATCGTTATAGTGTACCGAGCACCTGGCCCGTATTCTGAATTCTTATCTGAATTTGCAGAGTTTTTGTCAACTTTAGTCCTTAAAACGGACAAAGTTATTATTGTAGGGGATTTTAATATTCATGTGGACGTTGAGAATGACAGCTTCAGTACTGCGTTTATCTCTCTGTTAGAATCCATTGGCTTCTCTCAGAGTGTTCATGAACCGACTCACTGTTTTAACCACACCCTCGACCTTGTTCTGGTATATGGTATTGAAATTGAACATTTAATAGTGTTCCCACAGAATCCCTCTTTATCCGACCACTGTTTGATAACTTTTGAGTTTGTATTGCTGAACTACATGCCATTGGGCAAAAATTTCTATACAAGATGTCTGTCTGATAGTGCCATAGCTAAATTTAAGGATGCGATTCCATCAGCTCTAAATACATTATCTAGTCACAAAGTAACAGAGGACTCCTATGCTAATTTCAGTCCCTCCCAAATCGATCATCTTGTTGATAGTGCTGCAGGCTCGCTGCGAATGACACTCGACTCTGTAGCCCCTCTAAAAAAGAAAATAATAAAGACGGTTAGCTCCATGATATAATACTGAAACTTGCAAATTAAAGCAAATATCGCGGAAACTTGAGAGGAGGCGTTCCACCAAACTGGAAAATTCTCGTTTAATTTGGCAAGATAGTCTTAAAACTTATAGGAAGGCCCTCCGTAATGCCAGAGCAGCGTACTACTCGTCATTAATAGAGGAAAATAGGAACAACCCCAGGATTCTTTTCAGCACTGTAGCCAGGCTGACAGAGAGTCACAGCTCTATTGAGCCAAGTATTCCCATAGCTCTCAGTAGTTACGACTTCATGAGCTTCTTTAATGATAAAATTCTAGCTATTAGAGACAAAATTCACCAAGACCTGCCCTCAACTGGCACCGACTTATCTCTAAACTCAGGAACCTTAGAAACAGCTGTAGAACCAGATATATGTTTAGACTGTTTTGCTTCCCTCAGTCTTTACCAACTAACTTCAATAATTTCTTCCTCTAAACCATCAACCTGCCTCTTAGACCCCATCCCGACTAGATTGCTTAAAGATGTTTTACCCTTAGTCAGCACTTCTATACTAGATATGATCAATCTATCTTTATCAACAGGCTATGTACCACAGTACTTTAAAGTAGCGGTGATTAAACTTCTTCTGAAAAAGCCCAAACGTGATCCGGAGGTTTTAGCAAACTATAGACCTATATCTAACCTTCCATTTCTCTCTAAGGTTCTGGAGAAAGCAGTTGCTAAACAGCTGTGTGACTTTCTACAGAGCAATAGATTATTTGAGGATTTTCAGTCAGGATTTAGAGTTCATCATAGCTTGTCAAAGTTAGTCATGGAGTTCCACAAGGATCTGTCCTCGGACCAAACCTATTCCCTATATATATATTATAAATGCTATGTTATAAACTTTCATTGTTATGCAGATGATACTCAGTTATATCTATCGATAAAGCCAGATGAAACTCATCAGTTAGCTAAACTTAAAATGTGCCTTCAGGATGTTAAAACCTGGATGACCTGTAATTTTCTAATGTTAAACTCAGATAAAACTGAAGTTATGGTTCTGGGGCCTAAGCACCTCCGTGACGCATTATCTAAAGATATAGTTTCCCTTGATGGCATCGCCCTGGCCTTCAGCACCACTGTGAGGAATCTTGGAGTTATCTTTGATCAGGACATGTCGTTTAAGTCTCACATTAAGCAAATTTCAAGGACCGCCTTTTTTCACCTACGTAATATTGCGAAAATCTGTCTAAAAATGTCCGTCAAGACTCTTCAGCTGATCCAGAATGCTGCAGCATGTGTTCTGACAGGAACCAGGAAAAGAGATCACATTTCTCCTGTTTTAGCTTCTTTTCATTGGCTTCCAGTAAAATCCAGAATAGAATTTAAAATAATTCTTCTTACCTACAAAGCTCTTAATGGTCAGGCACCATCTTATCTTAAAGAGCTCATAGTACCTTACTACCCCACCAGAGCACTGCGCTCCCAGAATGCAGGGTTACTTGTGGTTCCTAGAGTCTCCAAAAGTAGACTAGGAGCCAGAGCGTTCAGCTATCAAGCTCCTCTCCTGTGGAACCAGGTTCCAGTTTGGGTTCAGGAGGCAGACACCATCTCCACATTTAAGAGTAGGCTTAAGACTTTCCTCTTTGATAAAGCTTATAGTTAGGGCTGGCTCAGGTGAGTCCTGAACCATCCCTTAGTTATGCTGCTATAGGCCTAGACTGCCGGGGGATTTCCCATGATGCACTGAGCTCCTCTCTCCTCTACTTTCTCTCCCTCTGTATGCAACCTCATCCCATCATTGCATGTTACTAACACAACTTCTCCCCTTTCCGGTAGTCTTGTGCTTTCTCGTCCCTCTCCTCTCTCCTCCTATCACTTCCTGCAGGTGTTTCTGGCTCTGGAGCTGTGGAGTCTGGATCTGTGGTTGCGGGTCACCTGCTGCCCCCGTGTTCCTGCTCGACACCCTCTGCTACAACGACTATTGTTACTAGTCCTATTGTTATTATTGTTATTATAATCATTAACATTACGACTGTTATCATTAACACTACGATAAATATCTGTACCATTTTTTCATTCAGTCTATAGCAACATCACCTTTACTGTCTGTACCTCTGTGTGGATATATTGTGTAGGCTGCCTCCCTCTCTCTCTCTCTCCCTCACTCTCTCTCTCTCCTGTCGTCTTTCTCTCTCTCTCTCTCCCTCCTTCCATCCCTCTCTTTTTCCTCTCTGTTCCTCTCCTGCCCCTCTCTCTCTCTCTCTGTCTCTGTCTCTCTCTCTCTCCCTCTCTCCCCTTCACCCCAACCGGTGGAGGCAGATGGCCGCCCACCCTGAGCCATGGTTCTGCTTGAGGTTTCTGCCTCTTAAAAGGAAGTTTTGCCTTGCCTCTGTCGCCTAGTGCTTGCTCTTGGTGGGAACTGTTGCGGCCATCTGCCTCGCCCGCCTTTCTGCTTTCTGTTTGGTTTGCATGTTCTCCCCGTGTCCGCATGTGTTCTCTGCGGGTGCTCCGGCTTCCTCCCACTATCCAAAGACATGTGGGCTAGGTTAATTGGTGTCTCCAAAATTGGTGTGGATGTGAGTGTGAGTGGTTGTTTGTCTATGTGTGGCCCTGCGATGGACTGGCGACCTGTCCAGGGTGTACCCCGCATTTCGCCCAATGTCAGCTGGGATTGGCTCCGCCCCCCGCGACCCTGTACGCAGGATAAGTGGTTGACGATGGATGGATGGATGAACCAGAGAGCCAGCTGATCAACCTCCCATCTGTAGGCCTAGATATTAGTGCTCCTCCAGGTTTTGGATCAAGCCTCTGCAGTGGACAGATGTAGATTTAGCCAGATCCAGGATGTCAGTGTGCCAACATGTGCTCCTTCTAGCTGCCTCCTCATGAGAGCAACACGCTTCGCTTGTACTGTTTAACTATAAGAACTATTGGAACTGTTTGAGTGTTGGTGTTGAGAGTAGTAGCAGTATGAGTGCTAGTATTAGTTGTACTAATGTGTTCCTGATGTTTTTGTTGACAGCTGCAGTAGGAGCAGTAGTATTAGTAGTACCATAACTGTGACCTGCTGTTGTTGTTCACAGCCGATCTTCACAATGAGTGCGCAGCAGAATCAACTCAAAGATCTGACAGAGGAAGACTTCAGCTCTTTCACTAGCTCCTACAGCTACACACCTGTAAGTTCTCTGCAGTACTAGTACACACACTGACTGCAGTACTGATGCTACAGCTCCCAGTAACCCTGTGGCCTGTTTTTCCCAGAGTGCCTTGCAGTTCCTGGAGGCGTACAGTCATGAGGACGTGACTGTGGCGGAGCTGCAGGGCAGCAGTAACTCTCTGTGGACCATCAGTCCTCCCAGCAGGCAGTACCTGAGTCAGGTGCTCAGCCTTGACCACTTCCCCCTGACTTTGTCCTGGACTGTTCAGAGGTCAGCTTCACACTACCCTCCCTCCCATCAGTAGCGATACAGTACTTCCTATCCAAAGCGCTCATGATGATACTCAGCTCGCTCACACACATACTCTCAAACTCACAGCACGGTTATTCAGAATCAGAATCTCACCCAAGGACACTTTTACTGGACTGAGGGGAGCCGGGAATCAAACCATAGACGACCTGCTCTACCACCTGAGCCACAGCCGCCCAAGTAGCAGTATTAGTAGCAGTAGTAGTAGTAGTAGTAGAAGCAACAACAATAGTAGCAGTAGTAGTAGCAGTAGCAGTAGTAGTAGCAATAGCAGTAGCAAAGGTTGTAGCAGTACATTGCCAAAAAAAACTAAACAAGTTGTTACTGTGTTTTTTTAAACAGGAACTTGAGTCTGGGGGCGAAGGCTGAGCTTGCATCAGGTAAACATGTGACCTACCTGGATGACCAGACTCGCCTGGAGCTGATCCAGCTTCTGAATGGAACCAGGACACTTCCTGTGTAAGTACAGGGGTCATGACTATATGCAGCGGTCGGGGTTGTACATACAGAGACGGAGCTATGTGTACACGGGCAGTGGGGTTATATGTTGAGTGGGTGGGGCTAGTTGTACATCTTACTATGATCCTGTTGTTAGCCAACATGCTAGTGGAAATAAAATGAAAAACTAATTACAATTGGCACCAGATTGTTTGTGACAGGTTTGTGTTTGAAGGTACAAATTAAAGATGTCTTTTGTTCACTAAGTACACACTTAAAGAAACACATCAATATTTATCTGTTTGTATTTAAGCTAGCTCTATGCCTCTGTGCTTGTTTTCAGGGTGATACAGGAAGTGTTGCCATGTTTCATTCGAGCTCCCAGCGACTCCAACGCCAAACCCATCGAACAGCTTTACACAGGTTTCTATATTCCCACACATCTATTAATAAAAATGACAAAATGAGTCACTACTTGTTTTTCAGAAAGTTAGGGTTAAATAACTTCCACAAAGACACGCAGAACCACATAGAGTCACAAAACAACCACAAAGAGATGCAAAACAATAAAAACTACAGAGAAGCAAAACAACAACCACAAAGAAGCGCAAAACAACCACCACAAAGAAATGCAAAACAACAAAAACTACAGAGATGCAAAATAACAAAAACTACAGAAATGCAAAACAACCACAAAGAAATGTAAAACTAAAGACGAAAAACAACAAAAACTACAGAGACACAAAACAACAACCACAAAGAAACGCAAAACAACCACAAAGAAATGCAAAACAACAAAAACTACAGAAGTAAAACAACAAAAACTACAGAGACGCAAAACAATGACCACAAAGAATTGCAACACAACCACAAGGAAACGCAAAACAATCACAAAGAAATGCAAAACAACAAAAACTACAGAGACGCAAAACAACCACAAAGAAATGCAAAACAACAAAAACTACAGACGTAAAACAACAAAAACTACAGAGACAACAACAAGGTGCAAAGAAATGCAACACAATCACAAGGAAACGCAAAACAATCACAAGGAAATGCAAAACAACCACAAAGAAATGTAAAACTAAAGACGTAAAACAACAAAAACTACAGAGACACAAAACAACAACCACAAAGAAACGCAAAACAACCACAAATAAATGCAAAACAACAAAAACTACAGACGTAAAACAACAAAAACTACAGAGACGCAAAACAATGACCACAAAGAATTGCAACGCAACCACAAGGAAACGCAAAACAATCACAAAGAAATGCAAAACAACAAAAACTACAGAGACGCAAAACAACCACAAAGAAATGCAAAACAACAAAAACTACAGACGTAAAACAACAAAAACTACAGAGACACAAAACAACAACCCCAAATAGACGCAAAACAACCCCACATAGATGCAAAACAACAACCACAAAGAGACACAAAATAACCCCAAAGAGACACAAAACAACAACCCCAAAGAGACGCAAAACAACAACCAAAAAGAGACACAAAATAGCAACTCCAAAGAGAAACAAAACAACAACCCCAAAGAGACTTAAACCCCACAGAGATGCAAAACAACAAAAACTACAGAGACGCAAAACAACCACAAAGAAATGCAAAACAACAAAAACTACAGACGTAAAACAACAAAAACTACAGAGACACAAAACAACAACCCCAAATAGACGCAAAACAACCCCACAGAGATGCAAAACAACAACCACAATTAGACACAAAATAACCCCAAAGAGACACAAAACAACAACCCCAAATAGACGCAAATCAACCCCACATAGATGCAAAACAACAACCACAAAGAGACACAAACCAACCCCACAGACACAAAACAACAACCCCAAAGTGACGCAAAACAATAACCCCAAAGAGACGCAAAACAACAACCCCAAAGACACGTAAAACATCCACAGAGACGTAAAACATCCACAAAGAGATGCAAAACAACAACCCCAAAGAGATGCAAAACAACAACCCCAAAGAGACTTAAACATCTACAAAGAGACACAAAATAACCACAAAAAGACACAAAACAACCACAAAAAGGCACAAAACAACCACAAAGAGGCGCAAAACAACAACCCCAAAGAGACACAAAAGAACCACAGAGATGCAAAACAACAACCCCAAAGAGATGCAAAACAACAACCACAAAGAGACACAAAATAGCAACTCCAAAGAGACACAAAATAACTTCAAAGAGACACAAAACAACAACCCCAAAGAGACGCAAAATAACCCCAAAGAGAAACAAAACAACCCCACATAGATGCAAAACAACTACCACAAATAGACACAAACCAACCCCACAGAGATGCAAAACAACAACTCCAAAGAGACACAAAACAACCCCACATAGACACAAAACAACAACCCCAAAGAGACGCAAAACAACCCCAAAGAGACGCAAAACAACCCCAAAGAGACGTAAAACAACCCCACTGAGATGCAAAACAACAACCACAAAGAGACACAAAACAGCAACTCCAAAGACACGTAAAACAACAATCCCAAAGACACATAAAACATCCACAGAGACATAAAACATCCACAAAGAGACGCAAAACAACAACCCCAAAGAGACGCAAAACAACAACCCCAAAGAGACGCAAAACAACCCCACATAGATGCAAAACAACAACCTCAAAGAGACACAAACCAACCCCACAGACACAAAACAACAACCCCAAAGAGACGCAAAACAACAACCACAAAGAGACACAAAATAGCAACTCCAAAGAGACACAAAACAACAACCCCAAAGACACGTAAAACATCCACAGAGACGTAAAACATCCACAAAGAGACGCAAAACAACAACCCCAAAGAGACGCAAAACAACAATCCCAAAGACACGTAAAACATCCACAGAGACGTAAAACATCCACAAAGAGACGCAAAACAACAACCCCAAAGAGACGCAAAACATCTACAAAGAGACACAAAATAACCACAAAAAGACACAAAACAACCACAAAGAGATGCAAAACATCTACCACAAAGAGACACAAAAGAACCACAGAGATGCAAAACAACAAACCCAAACAGAGGCAAAACAACCCCAGAGACACAAAACAACCCCACAGAGATGCAAAACAACTACCATAAAGAGACACAAAAGAACCACAGAGATGCAAAACAACAAACCCAAACAGAGGCAAAACAACCCCAGAGAGACACACAACAACCCCACAGAGATGCAAAACAACTACCATAAAGAGACACAAAAGAACCAAAGAGATCCAAAACAGCAAACCCAAAGAGACGTAATAAATCCACAAAGAGAACCAAAACAACAACCCCAGAGACGCAAAACAACAACCCCAAAAAGAGACGTAAAACATCCACAAAGAGATGTAAAACAACCCCACAGAGATGCAAAACAACAACCACAGAGAGACACAAAACAGCAACTCCAAAAAGAGATGTAAAACATCCACAAAGAGATGCAAAACAACCACCACAAAGAGACGCAAATGTAAATGTCTTTTCAAGTATTTTGGTTGTTATTACAAGTATCAGTTAGTAATGTTCCTGTTCTTTATTTCACTGACTGAAGAGCAGACTTCTGGAACACTGAACAAAAACCACAATGACAGTAACTAGAGGATGTTTCACAGAGAAATTAGGTTTTTGGTCTTTGCTTTGGTAACATCAAATAACATCTTTCATCATTTGGCTTCTCTTCTCTGTCCTCCAATCAGACGGCCACTACAAGGACATCCTGCTGGCCCTGGAGCGGTCGACCAATCAGAGCCATGAGATCCAGGAGTGGTGGATCGTCGATCAACCGGCTGCCAGCCTGGTGCCAGTTGGGGGCAGAGCTTCGCTGAGTGACAGGACGGAGGCAGGGCTCCAGCTGTTTGTGTTCAGTGATAAAGTCAGTCCTCCGAGTCTGGGCTTCCTTGCTGGATATGGGTACACATTACCTTCACGTACTACAGTAATAGGAGCATTATTACAATCACTCACTGCAGTAATACATGCTCGTACTACAACTGCTACAGTTACAATAGTATAATTATAGCAGATTATGATTATTTCTGTGAGTGTACTGCAGTAGTAGCATTATTATTAGTGGCAGTGGTAGCAGTAGGATTGGTAACAGTAGTACTAAGAGAAGCAGTTGTAGAACTTCCACTAGTAGTACTAGTGGTACTACTTCCACAACCAACAAGTTGTTGAAGGAAGCAAGCAGGGCTGCCAGCTACCATCCACGAGGAATGAGGCAACCAAAAGGCAGATGGAGGAAGCGATGGGGGGGGGGGCAGGTCAGGTGAGTGGGCTGGACAACCAAGCACAGTAACACCATGGTGAAGTAATTCTGTTAGTTTTTGTTTATTTCCCCCAAGTGGCTGCATCAGGAGCAGAATGTGTGCACAACATACCACAGCCCTTCACTGATGCTCCTACCGTTGTTCTGGGAGATCTGAACAACTGCAGTTGGAGGAAACCCTACCCCTAACCAAAGGTGGAACAAGGAAGGAAAATACACTGAATAAATGTTACATAAACTCTCCAATGCCTGTCAATCCAAGAGCAAACCACCAATATCCAGCTTGACCACGATGTGGTGAAACTTATTCCAGTAAGTTAAAAGGCAGTCAACCTGACAGCAAGGCACCATCAGAGGGAGTCAAGACTGCAACGATGGAATTGGAACTTGCTTTGACTACACAGACTGGGAGAGAGGACACATTGGATCCAACACATTCATTATATCAACTTATGTGTCATTCCAAAAAACAGTTCAAGTGTATCACAATAACAAAACCTACACAACAAGACAGTCAGCAACCCAAAGCCTTTAAAAACAAGGACACAATGGAGCTGCAAAGAAGAGAAAGGAGCTGCGACGCAAACTCAGGAATGCAAAGGATGCATATTAGCGACAAGCTAACACTAACCTGGAGGAGGCGTTCAAGGCTGCCAAACCCCCCGAAACATGGGAGACCAAGAACACCAGCACAGATAGGCCAAGTAAACACCATAAGTAAAGATGACATGGCCTCTTCTAACAAATTTAACACGCGTTCACCAGGTGTGGAACCACTGGGTGCACTGAAAGATGCAGGGGGTACCTGTGGAGTCTGAAGACGGACCTCACCCTTGCAGGCCACTTTCCAGCATTCACTACACAAACTTCACATCCCACTTCCTAAGAACCCCTCCGCCAAGGAGTGCAATGACTTTCCCTCTGTGCATTAACCTCTGCATTAATTAAGCCAATGGAGAGAATCGTCTCTCATGTCCAAGCTCCCAGTGCTGGTCCCCCTTTATACAGCGACCACGCCCTCTGCCACCACTGTAGGAGTGTGTGACAATGGGTGAACGTGACATGTCAAATGTTTTGAGTGGTCAGAGGACCACAAAGGTGCATATTATGTCATGATGAAATTTATAGTTAAACGTCCTTTTATGATGTACTGTGTTATTCTGATGATTGTCAGAGCACGTGATACAACATGTATGTGGTATCTTATTACCAGTACTAAAAGTAGTATTACACTCAGTGGGAGCTGTGGCAGTTGTAGCAGCAGTGTGATATTACTAGTAGTACATTCAGGAGGAACATTTCAAAGTAAGGCAACTAAGTATTCTTTTAACCACTCACCATCCTTTTCTCATCCTTCTTCTTCCTCTCCTCCTCATCCTCTCCTCCTCTCCTTCTTCTTCTGCTCCCTGTCCTCCTGCTTGTGTCTGGCCCTGCAGCATCATGGGATTGTACGCCTCGGTGGTGTTGGTGATTGGGAAGTTTGTCAGAGAGTTCTTCAGTGGGATCAGTCACTCCATCATGTTCGAGGAGCTGCCCTGTGTCGACCGCATCCTCAAACTCTGCACCGACATCTTCTTGGTACATATTTAAAAACTTTATTAACACAATAATCCATGCCCAGGCTCCGCCCTCTAGAGTATAAAGGCCTTTGCACACCAAAGTCCACATTTTCATCCAAACATTTAAAAATAAACACAACCTTGTGCTGATACCGTCTACAGAGCGACTCTGAAACGCTCTGTCATTAAAGTTTTGATTTGAGATATCATGCAATGATTGTGAAAGCACACTCAAGGATTAGTGAACAAACGTGTGTGTGTTTGCAGCAAGCTTAATAAATGTGTGTCCCTACCACTGCCTGATGCTGTTCAGGATCAATTGGGTCATCTTTTTAAAGAGGTGGGATTCTGCTTTTTGCTTGAGTTATAAACCTTTTTTGTGCTGTAACAGGTGACGTCACAGGGATGAAAGCTAAACGCGCCTCATATAACCCTCGCCAAGCGGCTACTCGGACACGCCCTCAGAAACAGCGAGCTGCAGCACACAGCTCTCCTCTCCCTTCCAAACACTAGCTACCCTCCAGGCAGTCAGTGGACAGAAAGTTGTTCCTGTGATGTAGAGACAGAGCTCAGTTAAAACTGTATGGATACAGATTAATAACTCACCGCTCTGAAACTCTCGCTCCAGTCCGTGTTGCCGAGCCGGTCGGCAACACGTACGGCTGAACCCGAGCTGTTTACCGGCTTCTCGCTGACCCGCCCTTCTCTGCCTCTGATTGGCTAGTAGTCCTTAACTAGGAACTGAGCATGTGCAGCTCCCAACAAAGATCATTTAGAGACAAGATGTATCACTCCATAGCTAAAATGAAGCCTTCAACACAGGCTGAAAAGAGGAGCTGCAGCAATCTGCAGTATGACAAAAATATAACCATGTAAACCTGTTCTGGTACAACCTCTAAATAAGATGAGGAACCTGAAAATGAGCAGAATACCACCTCTTTAACGTATGGTTCCAGTAGGACTATCAGACTAACATCCTGAAGTACACCTGGAGATGATGGGGATAATTCCTCACCTCCTCTATCAGCAGGTGAATCTCCTTTCTGTTGAGCTCAGGTTTGGATAAAATTTTTCTACTTTCAGGAAGTAAGACCACAACATCGTCCTCGGTGCTCGGCGACTTGATTTTGTCTCCAGGTGTTAATTATTGCAGTGAATATAACAGCAGTGTGCGAGGTTTCTGTGCTTAACGATTTTTATCAGATGAGTGATTAAAAAAACACAAACGGAAGTCTGTTGGTGTGCATAGGCATTAATCCCGCCCACAGCGAGTCTACTGTGATCACATTGGTTTCCTGTTTCAGGTGAGAGAGACAGGTGAGCTGGAGCTGGAGGAAGAGCTTTACGCCAAGCTGATCTTCCTGTATCGATCACCGGAGACTCTGATCAAATGGACCCGACGCTGACCTACTCCATCAACATAGTACTGATTATAAACATTAGCTATTATGACCTGCAGTGACATCACAGACTGTGACATCATCAGTGTCTGTGTTTGTGGAGAACATGACCATGGAGAGAAAGTTCTCCAGATGTTCCTGTTAGATCGAAGGAACTGAGCTGGACTAAAAAACTGGAAGATTAACTGAATTTTATTTTGAAGCTTTGAATGAACGAGAAGCTTGAGGAACGTTACCTGTTTACTGTGTGACCAATAGGAACAGAGCTAACCAGACAGTGTTATGGGAATATTAAGTATTGATTATTGATAATCAGTAACTGCAGGGATATTTCACATCCTGGAAAACCTGGAATTATTTAATGCAGCTTTTCAGTTGTTGTCCTGGAAAGGTCTCTGAACTCTGAATGCTCCTTCAGATAGACAGCGATGATGTTTGGTGAAAGCACCAATCAGTGATCCAAATGTAAACCAAAGCCCCACCCACTTCCCAAACTCAAACCACATGATTGGATGCTGCTGCTGTTTAAATACAGGGACTAACAACAACTAAATGTGAGTCATTAATGTGTGACAAACTCATTTTTCAGGACATTTTCAATGACTTCCTGTTTGAGGATTGATAGAGTGAACACTTCTTCTGTTTTGATTAACAGCGTTAGGGTTAATCAAGTCTCTGCACAGCTGTTTTCACTTATTTGTATTTATTTTACTTCACTAGCTTCAGCATTCTGTTAGCACTGTAGCCAAAGCTTCACAGTAGCTTTAAGGCTCTATATTAGCTCTATGTTTTGTGTAATTAGTTCTATATTAGCTTTATGTTAGCTGTACTTGGCTCAAAGTTAGCTCTACTTTAGCTTTATGCTAACACTACATTGTTGTCAGTTTCCACTACAGGAACTTTCCCAGGGAACCAATAGCCTGTTGATAGCAGTGGGTGGATCCACACCTAAAACACTGCTAAACATCGATACTAGAATACTGGTACTATGTACTTCACTACGTTGCTACCTGTACCGTTAACAAATGTACTGCATTGAGAATAAAGTTATTATGGCATACCAAATTTAAGCTGATTTGCCAAACTCAGGGGAACAGCAAGAAGATCTGTTCTTTCAGCGCCGATAACATGAGATTACATAATCATCTGGCTAAGCCAATCAGAGACAGAGTAGGGCGGGTCATGCCTTCACCACAGTAGGGCTCCGTTGGAAAAGTCTTTTTTGCTCAGGAAGGTTCTGACTGAGTGGAGTGATCTAGAAGTGGCAGCCATGATAATCGTAGGGTACACCGAACCATCCTTTACCAAAGGAAAGGAGAGTCTGCCGTCCCACAATTCCTTGCGGCGGTAACATTTAAAGCGACAGACGTTCTCAAACTCAAACATAAAATTCATTGACCACATTTAGCAAAGTACTTACAACGCAGACGCACATTGAGTAAGACTCACAGTTTCCTTCTTTCTTTGGTTTGTTTTCTTTTGGCTTTGCTGTAATCTGATGCTGTTTCAACACCAGTTTATGTTTTGGATTGGAAAGTGTTAAAAAAAAAGAAATCATGGACTATAATGGATAAAGGAAGTCAATCACTGTGTGAGTTACCATTGGCTGTTGAAAGCCTTTTCTCTCTTATGTCATAATTTGCTAATATGCATAGGCCTGTGTCTTGTGCTTTCACAGTTATTTTTGGCTAATGTAGTGGCAACCTTCAGCAAGATCATTAATAATTTTGCTGCAGATGCTATTTACTCAGCACCTCCTCTCTCTCGGTCGCGCTCTCTCTTGCTCTCTCTCGCAAATATATTGACAACAGACACGTGGGAATTGAATGGTTATCATGAACACCGCTGCAGAAATCTGTCCAACAGAATGCTGTCAATGTCGTAGACCCACCTTCAAAATTAGCTTTTAGTTATTAGCAAGTAGCCTAGCTAATAAGGACAGCTATGTTAATGTTAGAAAGTGACAGAAGTGAACTACATCATGTTCAGCTACTACTTTATCTCTACATTAGTAAGATTAGCTCTATGTTAGCTTTATGTCAGTAATTTGGTAGCACTACTTTATAGCTCCAAGTAAGATTAGCTGTAGATTAGCTGTAGATTATCTTTATGTCAGTTATTTGGTAGCACTATTTTACATCTACATTAGCTTTAAGTAAGATTGGCTCTATGTTAGCTTTGTTAGCTTTATGTCAGTTATTTAGTAGCACTATTTTACATCTACATTAGCTTTAAGTAAGATTAGTTGTAGATTAGCTCTATGTTAGTTGTGTGTTATTGCAATGCCAGCTATAAATTGCTTAGCTGTGCATTAGCTTAATGTTAGCTGTAGGTCAGCTCTACATTTTGTAAGGTCTACCTAAGGTATGATGTTCCTTTATTGATCCCCCATAGAGGAAATTCAGATTGGGAATGTAGTGTTAACAGTAAAAGAAAGAATTAATTATAATGAAAGTAGAAACAATCAAATCAGAGTCAAATGTATAAAATAACACATTATATTCAATGGAAATAGAATATGGTGACCTTGTGTAAAAGCTGTACATTAGCTTAATGTCAGCTCTAGTTCAGCTCCATTTCAGTTATCTCTACATTTCAATCTGACCCAGTAAACATTGGGTGGAAGGTGAACAGTGCTAAGCTAACTCCACAGGTCCATTGAGTTAACCCTCACAGGTACAACAAAGCTAACAGGAGAGCGGGCTGTAAATCAGTGTCAGTGTGGGCAGACCACCAGGCAGAATAAATAAGTGAAAACAGCTGTTCATTCTCAACATGACAATAGACTTAGTCCACAATGCCCTCTGGTGCCAGAGAACTGGAAGTAAATGTAACAGAATAAATGTAGAATAACCATTGGTCGTGTTGGTGTTTGGCAGTTTTGCAGTGATTTTTTTTGTTTACTTTATCTGACTTATAACTGTGAACTGTAAACTCAGTGTCTCCTGTGAATGATATGAAAAAAATGTGAAAATAAATGTAATCACCAGACTGAGAATCAGAATGTGTTCACTACCACACATGTGTTGTGGGCCGTGTTGAGGCTAAGCACCAGTGAAATGTTGTGAAATGTTGAATGTTTACTCATTTATACAACGAAAAAGGAGGTTTAAAATGTTGGACAGTGTTTAACACTTAGGATATACTAAGGTTTGATGAAGGGGGTTTGAAATATTCAGTTAATCTGCATTTGTTAGTGTAATTATTTGTAGGTGTAAACCGGGGCGAAAGTAACAAGGCGATTTTCTCAGAGCCCTGAATGCATTTGCAGTCCAAGCTGTGACAGCACCCTCAGCATGCAACCCTTCATAAAGCTGCCAAATATCAGGTGATTTTGTCATCGTTTCCCGCGGTAGTCTCCGGAGAACTGTTTTTGAGCACAGCAAGTAAATTTCTGAAGCGGGACTGTTTTTCGAATTACAAGTTGTGTCTCTCTTTTCATGTGTCACAGTAATGATTAATCTACAGGGTATTTAGTGCTTTAACACACCCTAACGTTTGCCCTGTCAGTTGTTCAGCATAAAAATAAATTGTGTTTATATGTCAGGAGTTCCTGTCGGGACAAAAGTACACCTGACCACAAGTCTTTATTTAGTCCCGCTGCTAATGTGGTGACTCTTCTCTGCGTTGCAGCATGTATTGAAACATGTTTATGTCATATTATACCAACTTGAATATTTCAAGAGTGATGGAAAGAAAGACAGACAGAGGTCTTATACCGCCAGATGTGTATGAGAGGGCGTTTCTGGACATCTCTGTAAGAAACATCAGTCTTAGGGCAGCTGCTAAGTCACATTGGCATATGCCATGTCACTTTGCTCAGGTACTGCAGGAGGAGGGCAGAGACCAGTAGGGAGAAGACCAGACCACCAGGGTACAGATCACATTCTAGAGTCTTCTCTGTGGACCAAGAGAAGAAGCTGCAGGCTTATTTTGGCATGTCGCCTAAGGTCAGTAAGTTACAGTTGATCTCCTGCTAGTTCTAGTCAGAATGCGTGCAGCAGCATTTTGTATTAACTGGAGAGACTTAAGAGATTTTTTTGAGTAGCCTAAAAGCACAGAGTTCCAGTAGCCAAGCCTTGAGGTAACAAATGCGTGGACAAGTTTATCTGCATCATCTTGATGCAGAAGGTTTATAATTTTCACAATATTGCGAAGGTGAAAATAGGCGGCCCTTCTAGTTTGCTTTATGTGTGAGTTAAAAGACAGGTCTTGATCAAAAATAACTCCTAGATTTCTCAACATTAAGAAGTTACAAGACGTCCACGTTTGAAACCTAGCTAACTGGTTGGTTTCGTCAGGTCTGATAGAAAAGGTATAACTGAGCATCATCAGCATAACAATGAAAATTTATACTGTGGTTCCTAATGATAGTACCTAGCGGAAGCATATACAAGGTGAATAATGTAGGTCCAAGGACTGAACCTTGTGGAACTGCAGGGGTGACTCTGCTGTGCAGAGAGGACAGGAGATTTTTACCAGTGCCTGATGCCTTCTGAAACCTGACTGAAATATTTTCACATAAGTTGTTGCTATGCAAAAATTCACAGAGTTGATTTGTCACAGTTTTGTCAAGGTTCTGTGGACAAGGACAGCTGCTGACCCCACGGACATGGACTACTTCTGTTTATACTACTTTCTGCAGTCAGCTGGTGGACACATTCCACACATGCGTAGTAGACCGGTTGTTGTCCTGGTAGCGCTAGTTGCCATGTGGACCTGGCGCCGACCTGTGTCGTCTGACATGGTGGAGCCAAGTCAAATTTTCATAGGTAAAGCCACCAGGAAGGCCAGCAGACACAGGCAGACAGGAATGGGGATGACGGGAAGGAGAAGACAGTGGAGGTTGACATGTATTGTTGAATAACTTTTGACAGGATGGCGCTGGAGCGCAAAGGTTTGCGGAGTTGGAGTCGATTTAATGTTTTATAACTAATAGCAATACCAGTTTATAACCACCGTGCACCAAGAATCTGCGACCATGTTCCATAGTACATTATAACCACCGACTCTGCCTCCTTATAAATACACTTTAATCACAAATTACAATTAGTGCTATGAAATGGAATAATAGTTTATAGTAATGTGTAATGTTATATAGCATGTCTCTGTTTGATTTAAGTAAAGTGATAAAATGTCCATCCCTGTAGAATAAATTGCAGGTGGACATAATTCCACATGAACTAATTCTTTAAGCAACAGCTCACTTATTATATCACAGTTAAGGGGTGTTGTTCAGCAGTGTTATAATAAGCTTATATTACGACCTGAAGTGAGCTGGTCTCAGACCAGTCACAGAGATCAAGGGTCTCACCTCCGACTGTCCGGGCAATGCACTTCCGCCATTTGCTTTCTGTGAACATTACATATAGATTCTTCTTAGATGCATCGCGATGCAGTTGTGGAAGATTCTGAATTGATTAACAAATGTCAAAAAATCTATATCTAAATGTTAATCGATAATGTAATGTTCACAAAACGCAAGTGTTGCCCCTTCACCGCACTTTGCCGCTGCTGAATGAATGACCACGCTACTAAAATTTCACACCCTCATCAATATGCGACATTGATTTTCACCGACACACTGTGCAGCAACACTCATCGCTGTGGTGGCTCCCGGTGTGTCCTGTGTGTGCAGAACGGGGAGAATGTGGAGGTAAAAGTTAGCGGAGGAAGTTAAGTCAAGTCAAGTTACTTAGTAAGTTGTCAGTCTGGAAGAACATGTGCCGTGTAGGTCACAGTGTGTCCGTTAAGTCTGTCGTTTCTGCAACTGCTGGAGGAGTGGAGGTGGTTAGCGTGAGCTAACATGTCCCCTGTAAAGCACGTTGTTTTCTTTTTTGGCTAAAATGATTTTCAATTTGTTCAAAAGAATGAGAAATTGCTTTTATGATGTGCACAATTGAACAGATGATGTGGAGGTTGAAATAGTAGTTTGGAGAATTTGAAATCTGATCTGAGAAATGCACCAAAGATGGCGAGTACAGCTGCCTCAGTGTTAGGTGTGCTTTGTTTGGTTTTTGTGTGTTAATTCAGTTTTCGGCTGTGATTCCCGGTGCCCTTTCACCAGGGAGGAGCTCCTGAACATCAGGGGAACAACTCCAGCGGAGTTATTTCCCACTTTTCTTGCGTCATCAGTGGAATTATTGGACATTTTGGTGAAGGGCTCTCTCGCTGTCGTTTGTGCTGTGAAGCGCCACAGGAGAGGGTAAAGAGCTGGGTCGCTTGTGCGTCTTCGCTGGCGGGGACTCTTCACACCGCGACCGGCAATATTTCTCTCCAATGTGCGCTCACTGTGCAACAAACTGGATGAACTTCAGCTTCTGGTGGGGAAAAACACAGACTTTTATTCATCTTCTGTTCTGTTCTTCACGGAGACCTGGCTGTCTGAACTGATACCGGACTCCGCGCTGCAGTTGGCTGGCTTCCAACTCTACAGAGCGGACCGCGACACAGAACTCTCCGGAAAACAAAAGGTGGAGGAGGCTGGTGCACAAACGTGACAGTGATTCAGCAGCACTGCTCTCCTAATCTGGAATTTCTTATCATCAACTGTAATCCGTTTTACTCCCCACATGAGTTTGCTTCATTCACTCTGGTCGGTGTTTACATCTTGCCGCACGCCAACGTTCAGAACGCACAACGCATGCTGGCCGACCAGATAATGTGTGTGGAGCAGATAAACCTGGACTCCCTTGTTATTGTTCTCGGTGACCTTAAGAGGGGAAATCTCTGCCAAGAACTCCCAAAATACAGACAGTTTATAAAGTGTCCAACCAGAGAGGGGAACACTTTGGATCACTGCTACACCACAGTTAGCAGTGCCTATCACGCCGTCACATGCGCTCCACTGCGTCACTCTGATCACGTGATGGTCCATCTGATTCCTGCTTCTCCCCTTTCTGGTAGTCTTGTGCTTTCTCGTCCCTCTCCTCTCTCCTCCTATCACTTCCTGCAGGTTTTCTGGCTCTGGAGCTGTGGAGTCTGGATCTGTGGCTGCGGGTCACCTGCTGCCCCCGTGTTCCTGCTCGACACCCTCTGCTGCAACGACTATTGTTGCTAGTCTTATTGTTATTATTGTTATTATAATCATTAACATTACGATGGTTACCATTAAATATCTGTACCATTTTTCATTTAGTCTATAGCAACATTACCTTCACTGTCTGTACCTCTGTGTGTATATTGTGTAGGCTGCCTCCCTCCCCTCTCTCTCTCTCTCTCTCTCTCTCTCTCTCTCTCTCCCCCCCCAACCGGTCGAGGCAGATAGTCGCCCACCCTGAGCCATGGTTCTGCTCGAGGTTTCTGCCTCTTAAAAGGAAGTTTTTCCTTGCCTCTGTCGCCTAGTGCTACTCTTGGTGGGAACTGTTGGGCTTCTGTAAATATCATCACAGAGTACGGTCTAGACCTGCTCTTTATGAAAAGCGCTGTGAGATAACTGTTGTTGTGATTTGGCGCTATATAAATAAAATTGAATTGAATTGAATTAAAGGCAAAAACTAAAGCTCTGTAAACCTGTAGTGAGGACATCCGGGCGTGTTTGGACTGCACTGACTGGGAGGTTTTCAAGAATGCTTCCAACAATCAGGATGAGTTTACAGAGGCTGTGATGTCCTACATCATTTTCCAACATGGACCAGGGTGAGTTATAACAATGAGTGAACGAGTTGTGCTCTCGCTAAATACCAGTTGCATTTGTTAGATTAAAGCGGCCAACTGTCAGTTACTCCTCTGCCTCCTTTAGCGATAATGGTATGTGTAAGAGTAGTTTATTTATAGACATGGAGGCGAGGCTCAGTGATTTAGAAGTCCGGCTCCGCACCTTGGTAGATCAGTCTTTAGCTACTGTAGCTAGCCAGTCCCCGTTAGTCGGTGCGGAACGGCCTGAGTTAGCCTCTGGTAGCCGTCCCCCGGCATCCCCTGTGCAGCCAGGAAGGGGTGGCTGGGTGACTGTCCGAAGGAGGAATAGTCGTAAGCATTCAAAGCCCACGGGGCACCATC